TGCTGAGGTTCAAATATTAGTACAATGTGTCAAAAACCTCGAAAATAAATCTTTTTGATACATTTTATTATTTGGCACGTTTCATTTCTAACATAACAATTTCCTATTTGTCTCATTAATATAAATGATCTACATATCATAGCTCTTGGTATCACAGACTTTCTGAGGTACCGGTCGTCGTGATAAAGATGCTGTATTTCGGACAACAGTCACTTCATACATATTTGGGAATTTATTGCACCTGAGCGAAGGATATTTCATGTGCAATAAATACCCCAATATGTATTAAGTGTATTGTCAGAAATACAGCATCTATAGTCTGGAAGGTAATTTAAGGTAGCGACGTTTACTACAGGACCATATGACACAGTTGAACCAATCACCTTAACTCGAAAGGTTGCACGGGAATCACGTACGCACGAATACGGTGTTAGCGTTGGGCGTCTCAACGTGCGTGATTCCCGTGCACCCTGTCGAGTTGAGTTGATTGGTTCAACTGTGTCATATGGCCCTGTGACGCAGGGGTAGCATTATGTAGATGGCTGTTTCAATGATGCTTGTTCCACCCGTGACGAACAGGTCTGGTTGTTGATAAAATATAGTGATAGCTAAATAGACAGATTTTTTATTCATGCACCGATTGTCTTTAAATGTAATATCCAGTTATGTATGACTGTTTAATAATCTCATACCAATTTTGACTGGAGTAGGTCCGATAGTTTTTCAGATATTGTAGTAAACGTCGGTACCTTAAATTACATTCCAGACTATAATGGAAAGATATTACGACGGCTGGTAACTAAGGACGTCTCTGTCAGGCAAACCAGTGGTTGATGCCAAGAGCAATTACCTATACCGTCGGGGTAGTGTATTAGCCATTGTGACCACCAGATACTCATATTTAACAGCAAATGAACTCTCAAATGTGCCACGAAGTAGGAACATAGTTACAGTTTCTAAAATACAACAAGCTTAAGCCTTATACTCAAGGGACAAGAAATCCTGGTTCTCATGAATTTTAATCGCGTCTCAAGGATTACTGGTGCGCGATTACAGGTCATCCCTGATCTTACACCACAGCCATTGATTATACAGGTGTGTTAATCCAAGCCTGTTTCGTGGTCATGCAGACCAGGTATTGTCGAGCAAAGAATCTCTCCCGCTCCGCACAACAATCTGATAGTATGTCGTACCATGTCTATTATTCTGTCTGGGGTATTGTGATGTCCTGTGAACTATTGCGTAATATGAAATATATATCAGGCACAGCTGAGAAAAAAACTGTTTTCTTAAAATATTTAATTCCTTGTAAAAGGTAATCGTAAACGTTCCATGACCTCTTCGTCACGATGTATGGCTGACTGCCAAGAAATTGAAACTCTATATATGTACAGAACAATTAACAGGATATGAACATCATGCTATCCCTGTATTGGTTATCACGATCCGATGACACTTAACGCACGAGTTGCTCTATTTGAAATGTTTAATTTGATAAAAAAATGAAACTAAACCTATTTTATAAAGATCTTACCCAACCATGCAAAAAATGGCACCGTTTAATTTCAGATATGCAAACACATTTCGTTATATCCGTATGTTCGTTATAAGCGTGTTCGTTATAAACGTAGTTTACCGTACGAGGATTGAGCATCAACAGTGCGCAGTGAGACAGTTCGAAAACATTCTGACCTCTCGAATACAACAGAGAAACCTTGCACCTCTTTATCTCGAAACATTGCTGAAGACGATGTAACTTTTTAGCCCAAATTAAACCGTAATCGTTTTTACGTTCTGATAGCGTTATTCCGTTTGTATCGAACGACGGACACACCTCGAAAAATAATCGATGGTTCCCAGGGCTTCGAGATAAGAATGTTTTCTTGTACAAATTTAACGGAGCATAATAATAATGCTAAGTATCAAACATTTTGTCCAATAAAAGTGATGACCCAGGGGTCTGGGCCAGTGAGGAGTCCGGGTGAGTTATCGTATCCCAGTTGTGTTGGCCGTTGCTCATAATAACAATCATTGGTTTGACTAGTCCTCACTCAAATATAGCTGAAATATAGCTGAGTGCGGCGGTAAACACTATAAGGTTTAGATGCAGGCATACAATGTCTCCATATATATGTAGAGCATCACACTTTTCGAGATGGTCCTGATCTCGCGAGATAACTGAGGGTTCATATTACGAAAAGAGTGACTATTTGTTCACGTGATTGTGACATACAGATCCTGTTCCCCGTTGTTCTGACACGTCTGCCATCAGAGCCTCGCAGGATATCGGGGCTTTGCGTCAGGCCCCGGACCTTGAAATATGCGAGGCGCGTTGTGTAATTCCATATCCGCCATGTGTCCCTTTAAAAAGTCTCCTTCCTCTCCAACAGATCAACAGCTGTGTGTGTATGTGTGTGTGTGTGTGTGAGAGAGAGAGAGAGAGAGAGAGAGACAGAGACACACAGAGAGAGACAGAGTATTTATATTTTAGTATGAACAAAAGAAAAAACGTACTTTCAGTAAATTCTCCAACCACTTACCCCTGGCCCCAGATGGACTTGTCACAATTATAGAACAAATAAAACATGAAATCTGAAGGGATACGTCATAGAATTTCAGCGGCTAAGTCTGTTCTTGCCAGCGGGTATCCGACGAATGATTCGCGTTTTGATAGAGAGAGAAGGCGAGAGAGGCACACAGAGAGAGTGAGTGAGTGAGTGAGTGGGAGAGAGAGAGACAGACAGACAGAGAGAGAGAGAGAGAGGGGCGGGGAGAGAGGGCGAGAAGACACGCGTAGCCAAGTCATCTAAGGCGCCGCAATATGCTGTGCAGAGTTGCACACCATGAGAGTGCCATTGATCCATGACCGTGGGTTTGAATCCCGATTATGTTTATGTTTCTAGGTTTGTCGGCACCACACCCGTGCTCGTGGATTGCACAGAGGTGGTAAACATCTGAGACCTGCTTCACATCGGACTTTGCCCCCACAACAATCGTGCACATCGTAATATAACTGTAATATGAGGCCTTAAACCCAACCCACTCCCCTACATGTCCCGTTTAGAGCTGAATCAGGATATTAAACACGCACGCACGCACGCACGCACGCACGCACGCGCGCGCTTGGTAGAGATATATTATTATAAAGCATGGAGCCACTCATTATTCCGGAACCACATGCAAAAGGCTGTTCATTGAAAAAGAGACCCATTCCATATGACTTTATTGTTGTCAAAATTATATACTGCCGTTTCTTTCATTCTGTAATAATTGTTATTATGATCATATACTCCTGTTTAACTCACTCTGTAATAATCACTATGAACATTTATGCATTTCTTCAACATAGGCACGTGCAGTTCACGCACGTGTGACGGCAATATGAAAAAACAGCCTATTCATGTTTTTCTCACATACTGAACAGTGCTCTACATCAACGCACATCCCAGTGCAAAACAATTTAAAACTACTTATCATGAAATCGCATCTCAAGTCGCCCCAGCTCTCTCTGGTATTGTGGTTCTATGGCCGCCACCTGGGACAAAGTAGGCTATTCATTTAATCCTACCTTACGAACATCACAGGAAATGTATATACTACTTATTACTTCAAATTGGAAATGAAACATTATAGGTCTTCGAATGTGCTTATTTTACTTTAAATATATAGGTTATCCGACAGACAGGCGGTACTTGTTTATTTATTGTGACGTCATCTGTGGGTATTGTCACGTGACGGCGTAGCAGTATGTCATGTGTGACACTTGTAGAGATTCGATATATACTGAAACTGATATTGAAACGCAAAACATGTCGAGTTATCGGTAGTTCGAGATAGGCGGAATGTCAATGTTACACAATAGCGCAAATAGGGATTATGTCGATCGAGCCCGTGCTGACGAGGTGTCACTATATTAATGACCTATTTTAAAGAAGTAACTATACTACTCAAAAGAAGTTAAAGAACACCGTAGGTCGAGAATTTATGGATGTCAATTTCTTTATTATGAAACTCAACGTTTCGGAGTATATGCTTACTCCTTCATCAGCTGAAGGAGTAAGGAGTAAACATATACAGTAAACTACGGTTATAACGAACACGCTTATAACGAACTGGCGGATATAACGAACTATTTTCTTTTGTCCCGGCCATTTGTTGAATATATGCTGCATATGTGTTTATAACGAAGTACGGTAATAACGAACTAAAATTACTGGTCCCTCTGAGTTCATAACCGTAGTTTACTGTACTCCGAAACGTTGTGATCCTCATAATAAAGAAGTTGACATCCATAGATTCTCTTCCTTATGTGTATCACTTCTAAATGCCTTTCAACGGCTTGAAAGATCACTAAGTCTTTATGTTGTGTTTGGATGGATTTCGGGCCATTGCTGAAATTTGTTAATAAGAACACCGATATGTCGAGAATCATTAACACATGTTGTTTACAATGCTTTTGACTTGGGAACACTATGCTTATCGATATTAATATAATATTATTCCAAACACTTGTTCGAACTAAAAAAAATATATGCTTGCTGTTATGTAATGTATTTTTATAATGTTCTTCATAATTCCCCATGCACAGATGAGACCGCCTCCGTGGTCTAGTGGTAGAGCGTCCGCCCGGAGAGCGGAAGGTCCGGGGTTCGATCCACGTCATACCAAAAGACGTTAAAAGATGGTACTTGTTGTTAACCTGTCTGGCGCTCGGCATTAAGGGGCTAAAACAAGGACTGGTCGGCTCGGAGTCAGTATACTGTGTCTGAGTGGGATATTCATGTTAAACTGCGGCATGGTATCTCAGTGAGCTAGCACTATAAATCGGCATCAAGCAGCCCCACAAACACACGTACATTCACGTCGCTATATAAGTGCAATAATCTTGGACGCGACGTTAAACTCCATTTCACCTGACCTCACCATGTACAGATATGAAATCTAAATGGCTCTGTCAATCATATAATTTACAATGAGTTTGTGTACGTCTTCTGCTCCAGTGATCTGCAGTCTGGGTCCTGTCTGCCGGGCAATGACCTCCACCTTAAGTCTCTCAGCCGGTGAACAGGCAATAATCACCTCGCCCAATTTTGGACCCGGACAGAAGTACCCAAGAGATATAGAATATTTATGGAACATATATTCTTCGCTTTCGGACGTAAGTGTACAGCGAGCTTTTTTTTACTTCATGAGTGGTTGTTGTTTAACGCCGCACTCACCAATATTTGTTCATTATCGAGTCTGGTCCAGACATTCCAGTGATTGACGTCATGAGCGTCAATCTGCGTAATTGGGATACGATGACATTACATCAACCAATTCACCGAGCCTGACCACCCGATCCATTTTATCGCCTCTTACGACATGCATGATATGCTGGGGACCTATATCCTTGGTCATGGCGATATATCAATATTAACAGCTTTTTTAAACAAAAAATCAAATGTGTTTTCAAATAATTGTTAAAACGAACTTATTGATCTTTTTCTCCTCGTCCCCTCAAACTCAATTTTATTCTCGTTATTATATATTTGAACTTTCTATTGTATGTTTAATGTTCAATCAATTGACCTGCCTTTGTGTGTGTTTTGTGATGGTTGACGCCGCTGGTGCAGGATACGGTCAACTTTTCGCGAACACCTGGTATAATCACTATTTGACAGAGAGTCTACTATGTATTCACTACATGGTCAAATTTGACAACTTAATCCGTTTTTGGTAGATATTTTTTATGATTATGGAAAAGTTTTAGTAGCTTTTATTTATTAAAATATGATTTTGCAGAAAATGACAGTAACATTTAACACCTTTGATGTGGAGCCTCACTCGGTCTGCGCATGGGACTACGTCATCGTCAACGACGACACGTGCGATAGCGGTACAGGTCAAAGACATTGCGGATCCTCCATTCCTCAACCATACATCACTTCCTCATCATCCGTGTGCATCCGGTTCCATTCTGATGCTATCATCCCTAAGGCTGGTTTTAATCTTACAGTTTTTGGTAGGTCAATAAATTCTATAATTTGAAATATATATTTTCGCAAATTGATTTCAAAAGTGAAGAAATATAAAAAAGTAACTGTCATAAGTTTGGCAAATTTCATCAGTACAAATTAATGATGAAGAAGAAGTGTGATAAGCGAAAGGGTACACGTGTCAAATAAGGAGTGAGTGAGTTGGGTTTAACGCCGCTTTGAACAGTATTCTAGTTATATCACGGCGTGTTAGCTTGAGGTGGGAGGAAAGCACGAACTGATACAGGTCTTAAAGTCTAAAAACATTTGCCACTTTGGTGAAACCAACGAGCGCGGATATGGAGCTTACAGACCAGAAAACATATTAAGGCCGAACCAGGATTCGAACCCACGACCCACGGCTACTGGAACGGTCAGGGACGCAAATCTGCACAGTGAATAGGTGACCAATCTACGTTGACAGGTTTTAGTAATTCATTCACCTTGTATTTATTTGTTTGTTTGGGTTTTTTTAACGCCGCACTCCAACTTTATGACACAATATTCCAACTTTATGACGGCGGTGTGTAAATAATCGAGTCTAGACCAGACAATCCAGTGATTGACATCATGAACATCGATCCACGCAAATGGGATGCGATGACATGCATCAACCAAGTCAACGAGCCCGTTAGTTGCCTCTTACGACAAGCATGGGTTGCTGAAGACCTTTTCTAACCCGCATCTTCACGGGGCCATTTACCTTGAAACATATACATCATCTAAACCCACGTACGTGAGAGACACATTTTATTTTGTTATTCAGCCTCTGTTTCGCATACAACCTCGACGCCGGCCGTCCTGTCAACGCCACCAGTAACGCCACATCTTCCTCACATCTCTTGTTGGTCCGACACCCCGATATCTCAGTCCGCCATCATATCGTCTCCCGGATATGGTGTTGACCCAAATTATCCTAACAATGTGGTGTGTCTCTGGAAGATCGAGTTACAAATAAATCAGGTGAGAATTGCAGCACTCCAGTAAACAACGAACACTGCACGTGGGTATTATGTGGACCCTTCCTTTCCCCAAATCCTGGATCCCGTGAAGATCCGGGTTAGAAAAGGTCCTCAGCAACCCATGTTTGCCGTAAAAAGCGACCACGCTTGGCGTAAGAGGCGAATAAGGGGTCAGGCCCGCTGACTTGGCTGATGCATGTCATCGTATCCCAATTGCGTGGATCGATGCTCATGATGTCAATCACTGGATCGTCTCGTCCAGACTTTATTATTTACAGACCGCCGTCATATAGCTGAAATATTGCTGAGTGCGGCGTTAAACAACAAACAAACAAACCAAATCCTAACTCCGCCTGTACACACGCCTCATTGCCGAGGTAGGGGGCACGGGTGGCCCAGTCGTCTAAGGCCCAGCGATTCGCCGTGCAGAGTTGCGTCCCTTAGGCACGCCAGAAACCTATGATTGTTGGTTCGAATCCCGGTTCGCCCCAATTATGTTTCTAGGTTTGTCAGCACCATACCCATGCTCGTGGGTTTCACCGAAGTGGTAAACGTCTTAGACCTGCATCACTTCGGGCTTTTCTCCCACACTAAGCTGACACGCCACGATATAACTGGAATACTGTCAAAAGCGGAGTTAAACCCAACTCACTCACTCACTCACTATTTATTCAATGGTTTACTTATTTATTTTTCATTTATTTGTTTGCGATCATCAAGTCATTCAATAAATAATTAATAGATCTGGAGTGATAAAGATAACCGTGTCTTCATCTGACCTCATTTCCACTTGAATGTGATGCTCCTGTCTTCACGGAATATGTAGGGCACTGTGGTGAAATACCAGGTGTAATATATGTACACAATGATAACTATTATGAGAGGACATACAATATCCTATAATGACCCATTAATGTCACACAGGGTTTAGAGTAGACCACGCCCATTAAGCCCGAGGACACACAGACTACAGTCTAGAAAGTGCTGACAGGGCCTTTCAGAAGGATTGGATGAATAAGATACTCACGCTTGAAGCTTTGACATTATATTAGCCGCAATTAGACCATAGAAAATAGTCCACTGCCTAGATATCAGAAATATGTCACTTGATGCCTCGGGATGACTGAAGTATGCTGATGATGCGGGAGTATTTTGCCTTCACTCACTCATGCGTGGCTACCCTGGGTGTACACGGATGTAAGACTAGACTGTCATACGACTAGACTGTCATACGACTGTCATCGTCTCGGTGGACATTTTAAAGTAAAACAGTTCACGTATTTCACACGTAGAGAACTGGAACTTCGAAAGACCGTATGAGTGAATACCACAAAAGTTAGTTAAACGGGTCTGGCGTCACACACAAGTATACTCATGCTCATAATTATTTTCGCCCCTATACTAAGACGCCGATATCTAGGAATGACAATAATTATTAACGTGGGTTTATATAATACTGATTAGCAATCATGGCATACGAAACGAGTGTACATCAGGTATGAACATTTCAGAAATATTCATAAACTCAGGAGCAAGTGAAACTATGCCTCTCAGTTGATTTTATTATGTTTAATTTTCATTTTGGAAATATCTTAAGTTATCGATGTTATATAAAAAAACCAACTAAACTGTACTTACGCTCAGCACTTAAAAAAATACTTCTACATGTATAGTAACAGTTCATGGCGCGATGGCAATACATCGTTAGTTAAGAATACTAAAATATCATTGAATGTTGACCAAATGACAAAGAGTCAACACGCGTGTTATCCCCTATTATAGCTAAAATAGATAGAATTATCTTAAAAACGCGCGCATGTTATCAGAAATGAGCGGGCCACTGTAACTTGATAATGCCCTCATATTACTTGACGACGGGCCATTATCACGCCCGTTGTTAGGTGACGTCATAGGATAGGGATAGGTGACGTAACTTCAATAGTGACGTCATCTGGTTTGTTCTATGACGTTTCCATATTTGTAAAAGTGGGTCAGTGACATTCGTGTTGATTGCAGTAAATGTTTCAAAATCGACATTGTTGTTTCTTTTTATTTGATAACAAATTCGATCCACTTTAGCTATAATAACGGTAACGCTATTTTTCAGGGCATTATCATTTGCAGAAGACCTCGGGTCCTGCAAATGATAATGCCCTGAAAAATAGCGTTACCCTTATATCATCGGATTACCTGCCGGAACCCCCGTATGACGTCCCTGCCAAACTACTGAACAGTTGGTGAACTATGGCGGTCTTAGGTAGGACATAAAAAGATATCGCTGCAATGAAATTACATCACAATGCTTTGCAGACCATTGTGACGTCACTGGTTACCATGACGTCACAATCACATGACATCACTAATGGCTCTGCTACTGAAGCTGTTAGCAGTACTTTTTACACTGAAGACACCGCTAACTACTGTCTACAAATTGAAAAAGTTGGAAGAATGATGTTGGATGATAAATAATATCTCACCCTCGTGTCTTTTGATGTCAAATATATTAACAGTCGTTGATAAAAGTGGCAAAAATCCTCGGCAAGCCTCGGAATGTTTCCACTTTTATCAACTCGTGTTGATATATTTGATATAAAAAGACACTCGGGTGAGATTCTCTATATCATTAATAGAACACACTACTGAGATAGTCTAAATACCTACAATAATTTGTTTGCCAAAAAACTGGCGTTTCAACTCAACGCAACGTTTATTGCCTATAACGGAGCATGAACTCTGTATGTTACAGGTTGCCGTCGTGGCCTTCGACAGCTTCCATTTGGAGTTCCATCAAAGCTGTGTATACGACTGGCTGAAAATATATGACAGCCCAATGGTGACGTCACAAGTAAAGGCTACATTTTGTGGCGACACAAAGCCGAGCAATATTACATTATCCAAAAAGTCCTACATTCAGTTCAAATCGGACATAATTGTTCCAAAGTCTGGGTTTCTTGCTAGAATATTTATAACTAAAACTATAACTACATCTTCATCAAACGTGCAATCTCCATCATCATATGCATCATCATCATCATCGTCGTCGTCGTCGTCGTCATCATCAACAACAACGTCATCAACACCAGCTCATAGTTCAACATCATCAACCACAGAGTCCACATTATCAATACAGTCATCAACAGGGAAGGCAACAACAACGTCCACTGTTGAAATGTGTAAGGGCGTCAGCATTGTTGACGACGTTAGCTCATTGACGCTACTGTCGCCGGGGTACAGCGAGGGTCAGTATCCCCTCAACATCTTCTGTGACATTACACTGACGACGGGTACCGACAAGGTATGTTTAATCTCCACACATCTGCACGTTGATTCAAACCAGCATTAAAACATCATGCAACCTCAACGTTCGGAGGTAATTGGGGTTGCGTGTTATAGCATAGTGGTTCAAACGTTCGCTCATCACGCCGAAGACCCGGGTTTGATTCCCCACATGGATACAATGTGTGATGCCAATTTCGGGTGTCCCCCGTCGTGATATGGCTTGAATATTGCTAAAAGTGACCTAAAACATTTAAGTGATTATTCTTTGGGAATTCCAGGTCGACGGGTAGTGTTTAAAGTGTGCGCTGATTGATACAGTGTTTGTGAAGCCTATTTCAGCTGTTCTCACCCTGACATCGCTGTATAGTGCTCATCTGTACTCACTATAGGTTATAGGAAGAATGTTCGCGGGGCAAGTAAGAATATTTGCGGTTATAAGAAGAATGTTCGCGGTTACAAAATGAATGTTTACGGTTACAACAAGAATGTCCACAGTTACAAGAAGAACGTTCGCGGTGACCAAAAGAATATTCACGGTTACAACAAGAATGTTAACGGTTACAACAAGAATGTTCGCGGTTACAACAAGAATGTTCGCGGTTACAACAAGAATGTTCGCGTGTCAATTAATAATGTTTTCGGTTACACGTACACGTACAGTTCTACTTCAATTCGGTTATACTAGAAGACAAATGTCCAAGATTTACAATACAAAACGGCAACGTCAGAGAACAATCAGTCTCGATAATCTGCTACAACAGATGCTATCGGGCGCACAGGCAAAGTAGTGATGAAAATTATATGATTTCAATCACTGAAAATCAATGCTGACACCAGGCCTGAAAAAGGCAAGCATAACCTGTCACACCGGTAGCCCCCGCTGCTCGCGCAATTTGTATTAAAAAACACACATTGGATGGTTTCTTTAAAAACAAAGCCACATGTGTGTAAGTATATGGTTAGATAGTGATTCATAATCATATGCTGTAATATGCTGATCACTTTCTAAATTGCATTGTGTATTCATGCTGTAATATAGTCGGAATCGAACAGTGGACTCTGTTATTAGCAGAGATTTTTTTATGAACATGGAAATGTCTTTTTTCCCTTTTTATGTACGTCTCTTTAAGCAAATTTGTGAATATTCCATCTTAATGACGGCGGCGGACACAAACAATTATTTTCGTCTGTGGTACACGCAGGGACGAACTAGTTTCTTGAGTGACAGACGAATGATCGAACTACCCAAGTGGCGGTAGGTACCCTAGTGGTTAAAGCGTTCGCTCGTCACCCCGAAGACCCGGTTCGATTTCCTACATGGGGGCAATGTTTGAAGCCCATTTGGGTTGTCCCCCGCCATGATATTGCTGTAATAATGCTGAAAGCGGCCTAAACCATACTCACTCACTCGAACTACCCACACATGATGCACACTGTGTTATTGCCGTTGACTGACATAATGTCCCCTGTGTATTCTTCAGAAACTATTGATGTCATTCCTGGACTTCCACCTAGAGTACAACCCGCTCTGTATCTGGGACAGCCTCTCTCTGTACGACGGCACATGCCACTCCGGCGCTCTACTGGGAAAATACTGCGGATCATCAAAACCTAGCAATCTGACGACGTTAGGAAATAAACTATGCTTACAATTCAAATCTGATTTCGTTGTGCCAAAACAAGGCTTCAAGGTCGTGATAAACACCAAGACATCTGTGCGCCTGGGTGGTGTTCAGAATAACACAACGACCGGAAGTGACGTCCTTGAACCACCCACTGCTTCACCTGGTGAAGCACCTGCAGCTGGTCCTCAGCCATCCAACTCCACCAGCAGTGGTTCTGCTTCTACAGATTTTCCACATCCTTCAACAACAACTACCACTGATCATTCAAAACCTATTGGAGGTCCCTTCCCGCCTTCCACAACGACAACATCCTCGTCTACATCGTCTACTCCAACTGTCTCATCGTCACCGAGCTTCAGCTCGTCAACAGAGGATGCTGTGATGCCATCTTCATCCAGTACTGTTTCTACTGAAGGAACATCTTCAAGCATGTCTACAGATGGTTTAACAGTGTCATCAAACAGTGATGTGTCCAAGACTGTGACGACATTGCCATCATCATCACCCACAATAACTGTCTCGCCAATAGTCCCCATGTGTGCTTCATCAGAGATGAACGTGTATTCACCGGTGACGGTAACATCTCCTAACCTCGGCCCTGGGAAGTCCTACCCTCCACAGACGACATGTACCCTGTGTCTATCTTCCCATCAAACACAGGTAATACCATGCCACAATCAGCCTTAAACATCCTTATCCTATAGCTAGTCTACATTAATCCGACTTACTCAAATGCAAAGTATATCTGCATATTAATTTCATTTATTGGATCGGATACTCACTCACTCACTGTGATGTGCGCGAGTTTGTTGTTTAACGCTGTTCTCAGCAATATTCCAGCTATATGACGGCGGTCTGTAAATAATCGAGTCTGGACCAGAAGATCCAGTGATTGTCATCATGAGCATCGATCCACGCAATTGGAATACCATGACATGCATCAACCTAGTTAGCGAGCCTGACCACCCGATCCTGTTAGTCGCCTCTTACGACAAGCATAGTCGCCTCTTACGACAAGCATAGTCACTTTTTACGGCAAGCATGGGTTGTCCATGAAGACCTATGCTCCGGATTTTCACGCATCTTGCGAGAGTTAAGATCAGTGGATATAAAACTTTGATAGTGTTAATGACCTGTATCCCTTTCGTGTTTCAGAAGCTACACCTGTCATTCACGGAGTTCGACTTAGAGCCACACAATACGTGTGCATGGGACAGCCTAACTGTTTACGACGGGAACTCTACAACTGCGCCTACACTTGCAACCCTGTGTGGAGGTCTGTTTGCGGCGGGCAGCTTCACTTCATCTTCTCGTTCACTATGTCTCAAGTTCGTCTCGGATTTCATCGTTCAAAAGCGAGGTTTCAAAGCAACCGTTAAACCATTCGAAGGTAATGAGATAAGTCCTGTCCTGACATGCTTCGTATATATCACAGTACCTACCAGGTACAAAAGTCCCTTTAGCTCCATTTGAGTAAGATGAACTGCACGTGATGGACTTCAGCAAGCAGCATTCCCACCTATAGTTGTAACCATCAGCAGCGATACAAGCAATTCCGACGACGAGGGCTGTGATGTGCGAGGGGCGATCGGGTAGCCTAGTGGTTAAAGCGTTCGCTCGTCACGCCGAAGACACGGGTTCGATCCCCGACATGGGTACAATGTGTGAAGCCCATTTTTGGTGTCCCCCGTCATGATATTGCGGGAATATTGCTAAAAGTGTCGTAAACCATACTCACTGACTCACTGACTCACTCACTCACTAACTCACTCACTCACTCACTAACTCACTCACTCACTCACTCACTCACTGTGATGTGCGCGAGTCAGATTGCGATAAAAAATATCATGAGACGAACCCTCATATACTGTTTTTCCCTGTACCGTTGTGTAGCACGTGCAGCACGTGTTTGCGCTGTTCCTCCTACCGTTGTGCCCCCCTCCGTTCAAGATGTCTTGTACACATAACACATAACACATGATAGATTCTTTAAACAGCTATTTCCAGTGATGGGAATAAATATAACAAACAACAGATATTGTTGGTACAGGGTGTTCATTGTCGTGTCCGTATTGACATTTAACAGACTATTCCCGATTTTGAGTTATTTTGCAATTCACCGTTCTAATTAGGAGTCAAACGGGCTTTTTGTACCTGTACGGGGTATAGGTGTTGGTCCGCATTTGTATATAGTACGGTTCCTGGGAACTAGTTAGCAATTCCAATGAGCAGTATTAGCTAATATTATTGGTTGTCTTTCGGTGCAATCTCACTGAAATCAGATCCCCAAGAAGGACACCCCTATAGAAGGTGTACCCTGGGTGGAACTGTGACCGACAAATCTAAATGAAGGTGAATCGGTTGTTGAACCAATCAGATGTAAGCTTTCTAAAGCGATTCGGCTTTATTTCTTTTGCATTCGAAATTTCGATTTGTACAAACACAGAACACAGATGGTACTTGCTCTTGGTGTAGACGCCATGGCAACCACAGGCAGTATAAACTGGAGATACAGACATAAGATAGGCTGGTCTTAATACTGCGAGGCTGGTTGGCTGGTGAGTGAGTGAGTTACTATCGTTTTACGCCGCTTTTAGCAATATTCCAGCAATATCACGGCGGGGTACACCACAAATTGGCTTCACACATTATTCCCATGTGGGGAATCGAACCCGGGTCTTCGGCGTGATGAGCGAACGCTTTAACCACTAGGCTACTCACCGCCACTTGGGTAGTTCGAGCATTCGTCCGTCACTCCGTGTCTGATTATGAAGCCCAACTGGCGTCGTCAGTTCTCTGCTCAGAGAGGAATCTGTCGGAGTAATGGATCTGATTTTAATTAGATTGCCGCTACGATTATTGTAGGTGTTTGAGTGTATTAGCGGGACGTAACCACAGAAGTGCTTGGACCTTGAATGTCATACATGTACATGATTAGGAGCATCCATCTGATTTGTAGAGGGAGGGTTCATAACAATCAAATTCTTTCAAAGCTGTATCCAACAAACTATTTATTTACTAAGCACCATCAAACAGTCTATTCATTTTCACCATTAACACGTTAAATGTTGACGTTTGGGTAATTTTGACTAAACAAAGTATTCATTTTTGGCATATTTCTCAGAAAGCTATTCATGTAGAAAATCGTACCACCGACCCCATCGAAATCAAATGGATGCTCCCTTACATGATAACAAATCTGAAGAAACATTTTCGGACCGTAAATGTATGACACGGCCAAATCAGTGCGACCGTTGACAAATGTGTCGGCATACACAACTATAAACAGGTATGTCGATCTTTGCGTCCATTCCCAAAGACGGGCAGATTCAAAATAGAATTTATCTTGCAGTCATTGGTCGCCTGGCATCAACATCGTCGACTCTACAAACTTCACACACTGCCCATGCAACGTCAGCTTCTGCTCCCATGTCTCCCACGTCACCAACGACAACGTCGTCAACCTCGACATCAACAACTACTTCAACTACACTGATAATTACTTCTGACGTCAGCGTTCCCGATACATCAAAACCAAAGATTGTCACTGTTAACACGTCCACCACCACGACAACTTTGGCCACGACCACAATATCAACGCCTACAACCACAACTACGCCCGCCATCACTACAACCACGCCCACCACTACTACACCCACGCCTACCACCACTACAACCACGCCTACCACCACTACAACCACGCCCACCACTACTACACCCACGCCTACCACCACTACAACCACGCCTACCACCATCACAACTACGCCCGCAACCACTACAACCACGCCTACTACAACTACACCAACGCCTACGACCACTACAACCACGCCTACCACCACTACAACCACGCCTACCACCACTACAACCACACCTACCACCACTACAACCACGCCTACCGCCATCACAACTACGCCCGCAACCACTACAACCACGCCTACTACAATTACAACAACGCCTACCACCAAGACAACCACGCTCATGTCCAGTGTTCCTCTCGTTGCCTGCACTGGTCCACCACAAGAGTTACCTATATCATCAGGAATACTTTCATCTCCTGGGTTCGAATCTCAGACACCATACCCAAATAACCTCGACTGCAAGTGGCTTATAAATACCGAGTCCCACACAACCACCCACATCGCGTTTACAAACTTTGAGTTAGAGTCCCAAAACCAATGCAGCTGGGACAGCCTCACGATCTACAATGGTAGTTACGTCACTGATGACGTCATAGCAAAATTATGCGGTGCTGAATTACCAGAAAATATCACAATAAATGGCAGTCAGGTTCTTCTCCATTTCCATACAGACAGGATGGTATCGAAGAAAGGGTTTCGTCTAGTTTACTACACTGAGGTCACGCCCACAAAACCAGGTACGTCTGATCTGATACTTGTATACGCTTACTTAAATAGAACGTTCAGTAAGCGCTAACACGGAAAGCATGTTTCGGAACCACAGTTACATGTACTAGTTATTGTGTGGCTTTCCCGGCCGAGGTAACTTTTCTGGACGTCTGCAAGCTGGTCAGTCTATTGATTGACAGCAGAACAATCGGTCAACCCGACTGACTGGGCGCTTAGCTTGTTGCGCGAACAAGCAGTGGAACCAGTATATTAATCAGAGATGCTACGGATTACTTGCTCCGACTCGGTGACCGAGTTGAATGCATGAAATCGTATCCCATTTGCGTAGATCGATCCTGATAAACTATGATTGAATATTACCCCCAAGTACCTTCAGGTGAAGAAAATGTGTTCCCTTCCTATTGTTTGTTTGTTATTTAACGTCACACTCATGATATCAATCACTGGATTGTCTAGATCAGACTCCATTATTTACAGAACGCTGTTGTATAGCTGAAATTGTTGGAGCGTGGCGATTAACAACAAACAATACTCTCTTCCGCCTTTGTATTAAAGCAATAAAATTATTTCTTTTACTTGACAGCATCATCAACGTGTCCAGTTGGACGTGTCCCCTGTGATGACGGGACGTGCATCCCGAGCGCGTGGGTGTGTGATGGAGAGGCGAACTGCGTGCATGCGGAGGATGAGGTGAACTGTGGTAGGTCAACTAGTACAAAACAAACCGGTTGAAGCTGAGGATCACAATAGACACCCAGGCACATGTGCTTGTTGAATTAATGCGAATTCCTTGTAATGGGCGGTTGGACAGGGTCGGTATGATTCGGTTGATTGCCTGCCATTGTTCCCGACGGCGTCATGTCATCAACCACTGGCCAGTCCAGAATCGATATTTACAGTCCGCCGTTATGTAGCTGTAATGTTTCTGTTTGTTTGTTGTTATTGTGTTAAGTGTGTCAACTGCCTTATAGAGTTTGCTTGTTTGTTGTTTACTACCGCACTCAGCAATATTCCAGCTGTATGACGGCCGTCTGTAAGTATTCGAATATGGACCAGACATTCCAGTGATTGACATCATGGAAATTGGGATACGTAGTCATGCATCAACCGAGTCAGCATGCCTGACCACCCATTATATCTGGAACATTGCTGAGTGCCGCGTTAAACAAACAAACAAACAAAGAAAACTTGAAACCATTTTCCAACAGACTTAGCATTTTCATTTAATCTAGCTTGGTTTGAGTAGCCATTATATAATCACATGTACCTTCCTTGTGCTGTGTGGGGGCGGTCGGGTAGCTTAGTGGTTAATGCGTTCGCTCGTCACGCCGAAGGCCCGGGTTCGATTTCCGACATGGGTACAATGTGTGAAGCCCATTTGTGGTGTCCCCCGCTGGAATATTGCTAAAAGCGGTGTAAAACCTCACTCACTCACTCGTATGCTGTGTGGCATCAGGTATCCAACAAAACCTTCCTGTCCGTGCGGTGCTACCGATAGGGAAGGTTATTCTTAATACACTTTTTGCGAAAACCCCATGTCAGTGATCCATTCATGCTCACATTCACACTCTCAGGACTCTAGGTTGACAGATTGTCGTTCGGGTGAGTGAGTGAGTTTGGTTTAACGCCGCTTTTAACAGTATTCCAGTTATATCGCGGCGTATCAGCTTAATGTGGGAGGAAAGACCGAAATGATGCAGGTCTCAGACGTTTACCACTTCGGTGAAACCCACGAGCACGGGTATGGTGCTGACGAACCTAGAAACATATTCGGGGTAAATCGGGATTCGAACCCACAATCATAGGTTTCTGGTGTGCCCAAGGGACGCAACTCTGCACAGCGAATCGCGGCGACTTAGACGACTGGGCCACCCGTGCCCCCGATACTCGTTCGAAGTTTTCGCCAATGATTCTCCATCTGTCCCACTTGGTTTTATAGGTCATCCGTATCTGTTTCAAGGTCAGTGTAGTGATGCCCACTTCACGTGCGGTGACGGTACGTGCATCGCGATGTATCAGCGTTGCGACGGGAACCCCCACTGCAGCGACATGGAAGATGAGGACAACTGCAGTAAGTCACAGCAAACTATACTCCCCAGGGAGCTGAGAATGAAAATCGAGAGCACTGATCCAGTGACCGGGGTATATCTGATATATCATGGACTAAGCTATATTTGAGCAGTTATAAATTGGCAAGTGCGCTATACAAAAATAAAAGAGAAACGTAAATTGATAACTGACAGGGTAAGGGGATAATGGTGGCACTAATACATTATTTCAATCATAATATTAACAACCGTATGTCATTACTTTTCCCTTCTGTTTTATTCATTCTGCATTACTGACGATAAAAAAAACTATTTAGACATTGGGGGAGGTCGGGTAGCCTAGTGGTTAAGGCGTTAGCTCGTCACGCCGAAGACCCGGGTTCGATTCCCTACATGGGTACAATGTGTGAAGCCCATTTCTGGTGTCCCCCGCCGTGATATTGCTGGAATATTGCTAAAAGCTGCGTAAAACCATACTCACTCACTCACTTTTGAGAAATTGTATTTTCTGTGCTTCAGCAATGGTAGATTCAACAGACGAGCAAGACATGTTGTTAATCATGCGCAGTGGCACGTTGTTTCCGGTTTGTTTTGACCAATGGGAGGCCGAGTTTTCTAATAAAGCATGCACGGAAGCCGGATATGGGTATTTAAACATTAACTCTTTTCAATGTCGAAAATAATTTATGAATTTATGACACAAGATGAAGTTAAAACCATGAGGCTTGATAAAGAAACTACGTTAATTATATAGTATAAATGTTTTGTTTAAACTTCCCCGAAGTATTATCACGTCATATTGTCCTGTTTCCGGTGTATAGAAACGTTATTCAGCAAAGAGGGAAGGCATCGCCTGCAACAGCGTTCCTTGTTCCTACGGGAGATGTGTTGGGTGATCCTGGCTTGTTTCATAACAAGTTCATATTCAGGTAAGCATTTCAAGATGTTCACATACGTACATAGCGTAACCCCGTCAGTCAGACGACCGCCCCCGTGGCGTAGTGGCCGATGGTTCGATTCCCGGCAGCGAAAGAGATGGCACTTGTTGTTACCCCGCCAAGCGCACGGCACTAATGGGATAAAACAAGAACTCGTCGGCTCGGGGTCAGCAATTTTAGAAGTTATCGTCATAATGACGACTTCCTGTATTAACGTGGTATGGATAACGAGATTCCACTGTGAGACACAGGCAGACAAGGAACATTTCGGACGGATTATTATCCAATTCCATCCAATATATTACAGGGATTTATCTAGGTTTCCAAACTAAATGCCCTTGGCAGGCGAACTGGGAAAGGTTTTCAAAATTTTGATTTTTGTTGAAGCTCTTATTTTCTCAAATCGGAGAGTATTTTAACATTGAAAGCAATGCAATAGCGTAAAGCTAAACACTGAAGCCTTTTCGATCCTCTATATTGGACATTACCACAATACAACAGGTGGTTATTTTGGGTCAGACTGGTCATTATTAGTCTTGTTATGAGGTACAGACCAAGGAAGATCAGGGTTAAAATAGGTCTTCAGCAACCTATGCTTGTCGTAAAAGGCGACTGTGCTTGGTGGTCAGGCTCGCTGACTTGGTTGATGGTCGTATCCCAATTGCGTAATCGATGCTCATGATGTCAATCACTGGATTGTCTGGTCCACATTCGAATATGTACAGAATACCTTCATTTAGCTGGAATATTACTGAGTAAGGCGTTAAACAACAAACAAACAAACAGAAACACTACAGCTACATAACGGCGGACTGTAAATATCGATTCTGGACTGGCCGGTGGTTGATGACATAACGCCGTCGGGAACAATGGCGGCCAATCAACGGAATCATACCGACCCTGACCAAATCAAAGGAAAATTCATCTAAAGGTTACTATTATAACATGTTTAAAGAGTTACCATCTCTAGAACCTTATTTACTAGAACTACCAATCACCCTACGCATCTCTCTTGCTCGTTTTAGAACAGCAAATCATAGATTACCCATTGAAACAGGAAGATGGTATAATATTGTGAGAGAGGAAAGAAAATGTACATTGTGTAAAATTTTTATATGTGATGAAATGCACTTTTTATTAGAATGTCCAAAACTCTCAGAAATTAGAAACAAGTTTTTGCCTCAATACTACTGTATGTATCCTTCTGCCGTAAAATTCTCTCATTTGATGTCCATTACTTATAAGCCAACTCTATTAAAACTGGCAAGTTATATAAGATCATGTATGGAAATGTTCCACTGACATGTTTTCTTCATTGTATCTTATTCCTGTGTCCAATTACATCTCTGTATCACTGCCGTGATTTACGAGAATAAACATCATTCATTCACCAACCGCCCATTACAAGGAATTCGCATTAATTCAACAAGCACATGTGGCTGGGTGTCTTTTGTAATCCTCAGCTTCAACCGGTTAGTACGAGTTAACCTACAACAGTTCACCTCATCCTCCGCATGCACGCAGTTCGCCTCTCCATCACACACCCACGCGCTCGGGATGCACGTCCCGTTACCACAGGGGACACGCCCAACTGGACACGTGGATAATGCTGTCAAGTAAATAAATTGCTTTAATACAAAGGCGGAAGAGAGTATTGTTTGTTGTTAATCGCCACGCTCCTACAATTTCAGCTATACAACAGCGGTCTGTAAACAATGGAGTCTGGACCAGACAATCCAGTGATTAATATCACGAGTGCGCGTTAAACAACAAACAAACAAAGGAAGGGAACACATTTTCCGAATTTCTTCACCTGAAAGTACTTGGGGCCAATGCAATCATAGTTTATCAGTATGTACGTGCTATATTTATCCTCGCCCTTGGCAAACTGTAGGTGACATTCGTTGTACGTTGTGTTTCAGTTCTGCATGTGCCAGTGGCCGTGCTGTATCCTTGACCTGCCAACCAAGAGGTAAAGTAGCATGTTTCAGCAATATTCTTATAGATCGTGTTCTTCTTTCAATTGAAATTGAGGCAGTGGGTAGCCTAGTGGTTAAAGCGTTCGCTCGTCACGCCAAAGACCCGAGTTCGATTCCCCACATGGGTACAATGAGTGAAGCACATTTCTGGTGGGCCCCGTCGTGATATTGCTGGAATATTGCTAAACGGGCGTAAAACCATACTCACTGATCATGACTCCGACTGAAATTAATTAAAAATATATTCGTCATTTGTTTCATAAAAAGTGGGGGCGGTCGGGTAGCCTTGTGGTTGAAACATTAGCTCGTCACGCCGAAGACCCGGGTTCGATTCCCGACATGGGTACAATGTGTGAAGCCCATTTATGGTGTCCCCCGCCGTGATATTGCTTGAATATTGCTAAAAGCGGCGTAAAACCATAGTCACTCACTAATAATAATTGTGAATAGTTGCTGCGATGTTGCTTGACGATTTCGGCGCAGAAAACGACATCGTTGTTCATGCTATCAACCACTCGTTTGTCTGGCCCAGACACTAAACAACAGTCACTCGCTCTTCTCCCCGACCATACGTCCAGTGGTTTGGATTCCAGAACTTGGCACCATGCTGGTCGGAAGGGGCGAATTTATGGATCAGACTGCCTGTCTTGTTGCCCTGACGACATGGGACATTGCTCATGATATCAATCACTGGTTTGTTTGCTCCAGACTCGCATGTTGCAGTAATAAAAGTTTGAAAACAAGAACATATTCGGATGCAGATAATTAAATGGTGACCATCAACACCTGCACGTGAAGTTCCGGCCAATTTTGATATGTCTCAACTGTCCTCTTTATATTCTCAGAATGCGGCCGAAAGTCCAACAACCTACCCTCTGCATATATCTTGGGCGGAAACCGGTCAGTACGAGGGAAATGGCCGTGGGTTGTCTCCCTTATGTCTGGGGCGAAACAGGTGTGTGGCGCAACTATCATCAGCAGCACGTGGGTCGTCACGGCTGGCCACTGTGTGGAGACGTACGTAACAAAAAATTACCATATTTTAAAGTTACAGAGATACAGTATTACATAGAGTGAAAAGGAGTGCGTCCACCGTCGAAACGATACTCAATAATCTTTTACTCACGGCAAAATATTATGTTGATAAATGTAAAATTCTTGAAAAGATCTGTATACATTCTGTGTGTCATGTATACAGTTCAGTAAACTACGGTTATAATGAACACGCTTATAACGAACTGGCGGATATAACGAACTTACTTTTTAGTCCCGACTATTTGCTGTAGTTATGCTGTATATATGCTTATAACGAACAACGGTTATAACGAACTAAAAATAGTAGTCCCTTTGAGTTCGTTATTACCGTAGTTTAACAAACATCAGAAAACAGACCATGTAATGATAGACCGAATATCAGAATCTCTGCCCAAATAATGTCTACAAAGCCTGCACATACTAGGACCCGTTAAGGAGGGCCACGTGCCCCTTTATGGTATGTTGTACAATCGTGGCAGCTAACGTGAATTAAATTTAAAGAAAATAAACAACAACAAAAACATCATATAATTATGTTTTCTCATGCCCGTTGTAGATTGTCAACAGTTTGCTTACAACACAATGACTCATTTGGATATATGTTCTCAATATCAACAATAAACGTGAAAGTTTCTTCAAGGATTATTTGCATTCAACAGCCTTTAGGAGATAAACGTACTGTTTTCAATGTAGACCTAGGTTATCTAGACTAAACCGTACTAAACTGATTTTGGAAGCGATTGCACAGTGTCACATCACCTGTTTCATTCAGAGGTGGTTATTGTCATTTGAAACCTGTAATTGGCCAATCAGAATCGAATGTTTTCCACAAAATGCACCCTTCATTTTCCATAAAGCTGTATCCACGCTTTTGTAATTCCACGTGGTGTGATACTTCTTCAGCCTCCTCAACTCGCCACAGACAACAAACATCGTAGCCGGCTACGTCAACCTAGATGCCCCGGATGTTGAGAGCGCTCGCGTGACTGAAATCATCCTTCATCCTGAGCACAACTTCATCTACAACGCCGACATTGCACTTCTTCATCTACAGCGCCCTCTCGTGTTTTCAGACAGAGTTAAGCCCCTTTGTCTCCCTCCCCGCCAACACGACTGGTCGACTTCGTTGTCTTGTTTTATAGCAGGATGGGGAGTAACCAAGAGAATGAGTAAGCATTTTGAAGCTTTGTGAGTTGAGGTGAGGTGAGGTGAAATTGGGTTTAACGTCGCGTCCAAGATTATTGCACTTATATAGCGACGTGCATGTACGTGTGTGTGGCTGCTTGTACTCGTCCGGACTGATGCCGATGTATAGTGCCAGCTCACTGAGATACCATGCCGCAGTTTAACATGAATACCCCACTCAGACACAGTATAGTGACTCCGAGCCGACCAGTCCTTGTTTTAGCCCCTAATGCCGAGCGCCAAACAGGGTAACAACAAGTACCATATTTTAATGTCTTTTGGTATGACGCGGCCGGGGATCGAACCCCGGACCATCCGCTCTCCGGGCGGACGCTCTACCACTAGACCACGGAGGCGGTCTCTTGAAGCTTTGTAGCAAATTGGCAATTGGTTCGTTTACAAATATTAATTAAAGCTTAAAGTAACTCTTTGCTTTCATTAAAAGCTTTTATTAAATTTAAATGCATTTAACTTATCCTGGAACGTTCCCTTTGTAACAACGTTTTCATTCTTTAATATTACTATTAAGCTTAATTGCGCAATACCCTGAAGCTCTCGCGGGTGCAATGTGCTTATAAACAGATTTTTTAAATATAGATATGTAATATTCTATCAATACTGCTTCTTCTCTAGTCTTTTCCATGCTTTTGGGTGGGCTGTTTTTATTAATCACCTTCCAAAATGTTTAATTATAATAGCATTAATTGCATACGCAATATCTTCTGTAGTGGTTTGAATAATTAACTTTTATAAACTGTTCTTAATGTTTGTCTTGAAAATTCAGACCGACAAACATGATATTCATTTCAGATTCTGCAGACTTGTCGGCTATTTACCATCTTGGTATGGGTGTAACTATTCGCATCTCTTCTGTATTCGCTTATAAAAACTATCAGCTTTGCTGCTTGCTTCCAATATGCCTGTAATCCCCGTGGAAATACGAATTGATCACCACTGGGTCATCTTCGATTATCCAAGGTATTATATATCCATAAGATAATGATAATACCCTGAGTAGACCCTTATCTTGGTATAATAAGACACGTCACTGCCTTCGTCGCTCCTAACTCTAACTTAGCTCAGCATTTCTCTCGCTCGTGAGAGTATTTTGATTGGATGGTTATTTTTAGCGCCTTGCTATTCGAAAAGGGCTCGAAACGAAGCGAATGGGGCCAGGGTATTAATCTAGGGTTGCGACGGGTACTCGAGTACCCGATAACGGGTCGGGTAGCTTAGGACTCGAGTCCAATTTTCAGGACTCGAGTACCCGTTCAGGGGAGATAACTCTAATCGCCTTTCGTAACTCGTAAGTCACTTCAAAATGGACGACAAAGCGGACAAACGTTCAAATGTTTTAGGTAAGCCATGCAGGCATTTAATGAAAAAAACATAATACCCTAGAATAGACCAATAGATGTTGATGACCTTTTATTCGCAAAAGCATTACAAACAAGTGGGACAACATTGAACTACGGGTACTCGAGTCCGGTTCGGGTATTGTCTGCCGGGTACTCGAGTTCAGTTTTCGTACCCGGTCGCAACCCTATATTTATCAGTATATACTGGAGATATAATACCCTGGATAATGGAGGATGTCAGTGGATCCACTCGACCTGACTTAGCAAGAGAGAAACATGAACGCTCTAAGCTACGGGTGCCCCACGGCGTCATGTTACATACAGTATTAAAGTTCAAGTTCAACTGTTTGTTGTATGATAGGTCATAGGTCCAAGTACATGAAGTGTTTACAATACAATACAGGATAATTTTATATGTCTGTACATTTCCGGTCTTGAAGGCATATTTGAAATATAACGTAACAGATTTTAAATTTTGATATTTTGAGGTTGCCAAAAGGCGAATAAATTGTTGGACTGACGGTCGAATAACAAATGTATTTGGTATGTATTGTTTTCGAATATCTTTTAAAGATGGACATATACATGTAAAATGATACAGATCTCCGATATTGTTTAAGTTAAATTAACAATATGCACATAATCTTTCAGATTTTGGAATTTTGTGGTGTCCCCCAGTATCAACATTAAGCCTTGGACATCCAACTCGAGACCCGAGGTAGAATAGGTCTTCAGCAACCCATGCTTGTCGTAAGAGGCGACTAACGGGGTCGGGTGGTCAGGCTCGCTGACTTTGTTCATGCATGTCATCGATCCCAATTGCGTGGATCGATCCTCATGATATCAATCACTGGATTGTCTGGTCCAGACTCGATTATTTACAGACCGCCGTCATATAGCTGGAATATTGCTGAGTGCGGCGTTACAACAAACAAACAAAAATCCAACTCGAGCGCGTGCAAAATCGGTAGCAAATGTACACAAGGTCGAATCTATGAAATATTTTCTGCTTCAATGCTTATCTTTAAAAGTGTATAATATCTATAATTACTAGATGATAATGTATTGGTCCATTCTTGGCTATACATACCTTTCAAATCTAAGAACAATATACAGGACATCTATGCACCCAGGGCCCCGTTCCACAAAGCTATCTTAGCGCAAAGCCGGTCGTAACCCCCATTCTTTAACACTGACTTACGACAGTCGAAGCACTAACATCGCTTTGTGGAACGAGTCCCAGGTCAATAACGTCATGTGTTTAATGAGTACACGAACACTCGAGAATGGACAATATTTTGCAATACAATTACCCTGAATAGGAATCAGCGAGAAAACTCTCAGACACGTAATACAGGTTACGTGTTTTAGCACTTACGGAAATCAGAACGATTCCAATGGGAACGGTGGAGCATTACTGTGCATCTCCATCTTTTATCATTTTGGACAATGTTTTGTCAGGGGCAGAGACCCTTCAGTTATTTTTTATAAAGGCATCACTTTGCGATTCGGAATCAGAACAGGTGCCGAGCACCCCATGCTTGTCATCAGAGCTGAGTGACTTGAGTCGTCGTACCCCGACTGGGTGGGACGTTGCTCATGATATCGACCACTTGGTTGTCTTTTCCAGACTTGGTTCTATCGCAGTGATAAAGCTGGAATACCGACAGCGGCATCAAATAACATTCAGGGACTGTAACTCCAGTAGTTGGGTCTGGCATTACTCGTGACGTGACGTGACGTGACGTGACGTGACGTGACGTGACGCAAGTCGAGGGGGGTTAGCGTTTGTGCCATTCACAAATTGTGTATATGCAAGTTATATAATCACGCAATTGCATGACGCATGTATTCAGCTTGCTTGCTTGCTTTTGATATGACAATGGTGTGTGTGCATATTCTTTGGCAGCATGATTTGTTTTGATAACGTGTTTTGATTCATGTTTTTGTGGACTTGAAATGAAGACAACATTACCTTCTGGGAAAAGAGGTTTGCATAACAATAGTGCCCGTTTCATGTATGTGTTTTGTGGACAACTACAGTCACCTGTTTTACCACAAGCGGGTGGTTAACATGCTGGGCCCCGTTCCTCAAAGCCTTCTTAGCACTAAGGTGATCGTAAGTCCCATGCTATACCATAGGCTTACGATCATCGTAGCGCTAAGATCCCATGCTATACCATAGGCTTACGATCATCGTAGCACTAAGGTCCCATGCTATACCATAGGCTTACGATCATCGTAGCGCTAAGATCCCATGCTATACCATAGGCTTACGATCATCGTACCGCTAAGGTCCCTTGCTATACCATAGGCTTACGATCATCGTAGCGCTAAGATCCCATGCTATACCATAGGCTTACGATCATCGTAGCGCTAAGATCCCATGCTATACCATAGGCTTACGATCATCGTAACACTAAGGTCCCATGCTATACCATAGGCTTACGATCATCGTAGCGCTAAGGTCCCATGCTATGCCATAGGCTTACGATCATCGTAGCGCCAGTGAGCCAGTGAGATATGTGTACAAATAAAAGGGAAATGATGAACGTGTGAACGTGCTTAATCAATAGAGGGGGGCACGGGTGGTCCAGTTGTCTAAGGCGCCGCGATTCGCGATTACGTCCCTTGGGCCCACCAGAAACCTATGATTGTTGGTTCGAATCCCGGTTCGCCCCGATTATGTTTCTAGGTTTGTCAACTCCATACCCTAGCTCATGGTTTCACCGAAGTGGTAAACGTCTGAGACCTGCATCACTTCGGGCTTTCCTCCCACATTAAGCTGACACGCCGCGATATAACTGTAATACTGTTAAGAGCGGCGTTAAACCCAACTCACTCACTCACTCACTTATCAATAGAATTTCTGTGTACATATTTCCTTTCTTCAAAACTATTCTTTCTCTTGCCACACCTTAAATTCCAGCGAGCACGCCAAAACACGGGTATCAGTGCCCTGTTGCCGACATGAGAACAACCACGTCCTGTATAGAACACTCTGCCACAAACTAATGTCTTATCAGTCTCCAAAGGTACGTGTGCATAGACTCGTTGTTCACACAACCCGCGGGCAGTCGATTATCTGTCCTTCACCTTGCACCATTCCCACGGGACGTCTATCCCGTGACTCCACGTATGCCTCATCCACGATTAAGGTTAAGTCGAGTCTAGGATTATCTGTCAAGCCTACTGATATGGAGAAGTAACTTCGGTCTGAGAAATGATCTTTTCCGTAAATCTCCCCATGGCTCGTAAATCTTCCCATGGCTTCATAAAATCTGATTGATATATAGTGAGTGAGTGTGAGTGAGTTGGCTTAAACGCCGCTTTTAACAGTATTACAGTTACATCGCGGCGTGTGAGCTTAATGTGGGAGGAAAGACCGAAGTGATGCAGGTCTTAGACGTTTACCACTTCGATGAAACCCACGAGCACGGGTATGGTGCTGACAAACCTAGAAACATAATCGGGGCGAACCGGGATTCGAACCCACAATCATAGGTTTCTGGCGTGCCCAAGGGACGCAACTCTACACAGCGAATCGTGACGACTTGGCCACCCCTACCCCCCGTGCCCTCATATATATAAAATGAGTTAGTACTAACGTGTACATCCCGCACTAGCATGTGTCTTTGTTTTATCTCAGTCTCAAACATAAGAAATCATTTCCCAAAAATATTATTTTGACCATCTTACTTGTGAAACAACTACAATCGGCAAACCTCGCTCCTTTCCGTAACTGCAAAGCAGTCTATTTTCAGCAGAAATGGCCGATCGTGTTCAGAGTGTGAACTACACAGTACATTATCTATCGCTGTGACTTTTCACTATTTGAAACTGAACTGAAAAATAAAACATAACCGATAGCAACTTCATGATCAGTGATAAATAGTCTTCTCGTAACCCCCTCAAACCTGACTTTCAACAGATATATTAGCCGGAGTGACCTCCCCTTACCTCCACCACGCCCAGCTTCATCTGTGGTCGCAGAGCAAGTGTCGCGACGTATATCCTATTAAGGTCAAGGACACCATGATCTGTGCAGGGGAGGAATCGGGTTCAGTTGATGCCTGCAAGGTTGGTACTAGTCTAATGGACGAATAATGCTTTAAGGAAGAGAATTTATGGATGTCAACTTCTTTATTATGAGGAACACGACGTTTCGGAGTATATGCTTACTTCTTCATCAGTGAATGAACTTCATGAAGGAGTAAGTACATACACCGAAACGTTGTGTTCCTCATAATAAAGAAGTTGACATCCATAAATTCTCTTCCTTACGTGAATCACTAAATCCCTTTCGGATCATTCGTCACTGATCATTTAACGACAGAATGTGAACACAGAGTCGTGTGCATAATATCACTAATATTTCTATTCTGAAATAGAAATTCTATTTTTTTCTAGTGGTAGAGCGTCCGCCCGGAGAGCGGAAGGTCCGGCGTTCGGTCCCCGGCCGGCTCGGAGTCACTACACTGTGTCTGAGTGGGGTATTCATGTTAAACTGCGGCATGGTATCTCAGTGAGCTAGCACTATAAATCGGCATCAGTCCGGACTATTACAAGCAGCCACACAAACACACACGTGCATGCACGTCGCTATATAAGTGCAATAATCTTGGACGCGACGTTAAACCCCACTTCACCTCACCTCACATCTTCCGTATTAAACAAATACCACATTTGATATTCCTTGACCAATTTTCATTAAACTGACGAGTTCTTGTGTTGTTCCTTATTGCCTTGCACCAGGCAGGGTAACATCAAGCACGATCTTTAAACGTCTTTTGTTATGATCGAACCACCGACTTTCCATTCACCGCACAGACGCTGTATCTACTAGACATGGCGGCAGTCTTCAGTCTCCAGGGCGGGGGACACCAGAAATGGGCTTCACACATTGTACCCATGATGGGTGCGAACCCGGATCTTCGGCGTGACGAGCGAACCCTTTAACCACTAGGCTACCCGACCGCCCTCTTCAGTCTAAGGATTTTGACCCCCAAAACAATGATATTAATTCGGAACACCTCTATCCCCAGGGTGACAGCGGCAGCCCGCTGATGTGTGAGACGGCCCCGGACCGGTGGGAGCTGGTGGGCATCACCAGCTGGGGTGAAGGGTGTGGTCAGGTTGGCAAACCCGGCGTCTACACCAGGGTGGATCGCTACATCGACTGGATTAAACAACAAACCAAACACATGGGTAACAACATTAAGTGTTGGCTGTGTGAACACTTTCATGCTCTTAACCCACCCTTACATCCGAACTGTCTTTGGTTCTCAGCTGCTTGTAAGGGGGTTTTCACAACTTCAGCACGATTGCATCCCAAACAGTAACCGTTTGACATTTTTCCCAATCTCAAAATCAGATCTTAGTGCTCGCTACCGCTACACAAAGATCACGATGTGTTTTTAATCATGCAACCTCGAACACAGGCATTCCGAACGACAGTTTTGGGCTGTACGACAGACCCCGAATGCTTGACATGCACATGAAATTCTAGACATTTGAAACGGGGATACTTTCCACAGCCCATGGGGATTACTGCCATACAAATCTCGGCTATCTATTATAGAAGTTTCTTAAGTTCAGTTTTCAAAGTTTAAATAGAGAACGTTGTCAAAAAAAAAATCAAATCGCAGTCTGCAGTGGAAATCGCCATTTTGAAACTTGTGCCGTAAAGCTCGAGGAAGCTGCTTTCTGGGTGGCTAATGTCGACTTCCTATTAGTCATATCATTGGTCGGTCAAAGTTCGCGAAATGTCGTTCTGTCGTGATCTGTATTGGGGTGTCCTTAGATCTTTTTGTAGCGGTAGCGAGCCCCTAGGTCTCATTGTAATAACCTTGACATGTGTTCCATGGATCCGAAAGGTCAATAACAAGTTGTACTTGATACTTGCATGATGCCCAACACGACAGATTCAACCATACTGTATGGCAGAGATGCAATGCTAATGCATGCTATTAACAGTTAATAACAAGCTGTATAAGAAATATCTTCCTCACAAGGAATGACATACGCTGGATGACATCCTCAGTTATCCAGTTCATTATTACTCTGTTCTATTATAATAAATACAAGTACCCTGGACCGACCGTAGCTTTGTTTCAGAAGTGAGGTACCACCCATATCGCTCCTACCCCCAACGGGGGCACGGGTGGCCCAGTCGTCTTAGGCATCACAATTCGCTGTGCAGTGTTGCGTCCCTTGGGCTCGCCAGAATCCTATGATCGTGGGTTCTAATCCCGGTTCGCCCCGATTATGTTTCTAGGTTTGTCAGCACCACACCCGTGCTCGTGGGTTTCACCGAAGTGGTAAACGTCCGAGACCTGCATCACTTCGGTCTTTCCTCCCACATTAAGCTGACACGCCGCGATATAACTAGAATAGTGTTAAAAGCGGCGTTAAACCCAACTCACTCACTCACTCCCTATCCCCAACACATACCTTCTCTCTCTCACAAGGCACCGACCATTTGATATTCTTGGGAGGGCCTGGGATATTGTATCGGGATTAGATATTTTCTCAGCTACACCTACAAACCCAGATACTTCTTAATTTAAAACTATGATCCTGAACACATTGCAAAAACGTGATTTACTCTCCCTTTTTTACAGCCTTAAGAGTACTTGACTGGACGGCAATTAAAAGTGCCGTGTCATTCGAAACGGACTTTAAAAACAAAACTAAGAAAAAAGGAAATTGATACAGTATATTTATAAAAGATAAAAAAAAACCCAATAATAATCGAGGATGACCTGGCGAGTGTCTATATGAACATGATATGCACATAAAATGGCTTTAACGCGTCATGACATGGTCCCTTCCAGAGGCAGCCAGCTGTAGCTTTGAGAGCCCGAACATGTGCGGTTACAAGGACAATTCCACGGAGGACTTCATCTGGACCAGACGTAAAGGTGGACTGGCTTTCCCACAACGCCCCTACAATGATAACACATTCGGAAATACGTCAGGTAATCCGGTATACTCCGGTACATTCCGGGATCCTCCGGTACACTCCGGCATACTCCGGTATACTCCGGCATTCGCCGTACTACTTTATGTCCAGGCACGGAGCTGTAGCCCGGTGGTTAAAGAGTTTGCTGGTCACGTCAAAAACCGGTTTTGGTTTCCCACATGCTTCTTATGTATGCTTGTCGTAATAGGCGATTAACGGGATAGGGGATAGGGCTGGCTGACTTGGTTGATGCTTGTCATCGTATCCCAATTGCGTGGATCGATGCTCATGATGTCAATCACTGGATTGTCTGGTCCAGGCTCGATTATTTAAAGACCGCCGTCATATGCTGGAATATTGCTGAGTGTGGCGTTAAACAACAAACAAACAAACAAAACTTATGATTCAACCCTAACTGAGAAGGTTCTGGAATTTTACTAAAGCTGCTCACTAAAGTTATAGTCTCTGGGCCCCGTGCCACAAAGCGATCTTAGCGTTAAGATGATCGTAATCCCACTTTAACACAGGCTTACGGTAGTCGTAGCGCTGCGATCGCTTTGTGGAACGGGGCCCTGCTCTATAAAAATATCGTAATGACAGTGAATGCGATAGACACACACGGCAAGATTGTACTTTTATGAATGCTTCGTTTAACGGTAACTGTTTCCATACCCCTTCCTCTCTGGTGTATCTGTGGTATTTGATATCCACGTGGATTGCGTCCAACTGACAAGATCAACATATATACCTACAATACCTACTTGGGGTATATTTGTGCAAATTATATCACGTGTATCGACAGTTATTCTGTGAATAATGGCGTCTGTCTACTACGAGTGAGTAATTTAGCGTTTGGTTCAACACCGCGAATAGCAATATCGCTTCACACAGGCTTCACACACTGAAAAGATGACGCTGCGTGAGCGTCGAAGCATGGGGCGTGGACCTGAGTGGAGCCGCCTCGGGTGCAGATCTTGGTGGTAGTTGCAAATATTCACTCGCTCACAGATATCACACGGTCGATACGTTATTTAATATGTCGAGGTGAGGTGAAATGGGGTTTGACGTCGCGTCCAAGATTATTGCACTCATACAGCGACGTGCATGTACGTGTGTGTGTTTGTGTGGCTACTTGTACTTGTCCGGACTGTGGCTAGCACACTGAGATACCATGCAGCAGTTTAACATGAATACCAAACTAAGACACAGTATACTGACTCCGAGTCGAGCAGTCCATGTTTTAGCCCCTTAATGCCGAGCGCCAGACAGGGTAACAACAAGTACCATCTTTTAACGTCTTTTTGTATGACACGGCCGGGAATCGAACCCCGGACCCTCCGCTCTCCGGGCGGACGCTCTACCACTAGACCACGGAGGCGGTCTTATTTAATATGGACCAGACAACCAATGGTTCAAAAGCATGACCCACGTGAGTGAGTAAATCGGCATCATTTCAGCCACATAGAGGCCATGTCCTATGTACGTCCATGTATACTACACATTGTAACCCTCTGTCTTTATTAACGATGGCCGGGCTAAACTGCTCTGATATTGCTTGATTACTGATGGCTGCGGTGTAAAACAACAATCATTCTCTTCATGTTCCCTCTGCTCCAGGTCACTACATGTACGCCTTTGTGTCCTACGAGTCCAAGAATCAGATCGCCAGCCTGACCTCTCCGACCTTCTCAAACTCCGGATTTAGTTGTCTGACCTTCACCTTGACCTTCATGAATGCAAAGGACGCGAGACTCCGGGTATACGGGGTATCCAACTCGTCAGGCGACACGACAGTGATGATGCTGCTTGCGCCTTTACAGGGGGCGTGGAGGATGGCGGAGCAGGAGCTGGGTGGTGACGTTTCGCGCGTGATGTTTGTTGCTGAGGCTGGTCGATGGACAGATGGGGGCGTTGGTTTAGACGACGTTAAGATAGAAAACAGAAGATGTGACGGTAAGTGCCGAAATTCAGATAGATTGCGAAATGGCGAAAAACTTTCGAAAAACTTTGTTTTTTGTTTAACACCGCACTCAGCAATATTCCAGCTATACGACGGCGGTCTGTAATAAATCGAGTCTGGACCAGACAGACCATTGATTGACATCATGAGCATCGATCCGCGCAATTGGAATACGATGACATGCATCTGTATGAAACCTGATGCCAACAAAGTCTATGAACAGTACATCGTCACACAGTCGAAGACTTTCATTGACGATTGACATATATTCTTTAGAAAGGAGCCTGCTTAAGCGCTCAAAAATGTCCTTATGCAATTGGAATTCCTGTAAATGGTAGTTCCATGGAATGAAATGATAGTACAGTTGTGTATAAGCTGAAAGTATTCTTCAGCATACCGGAGACGACGATGTAGCCAAGTGGTTAAAATGTTTAATTTTCACGCCCTGTTCGATTCCCAAAATTGGTTAATTTTAAAGCCTTTTCTTTGCGTTATATCTCTGCTACCTTGTTAAAAACGGCGTAAAACCGATTCGTTCACTTAACAAAAGCAAGCTGGTATTACATCACAACCCTTTGATTTACAGGCACTTTGAAGGTGTCATGTGACTTTGACGGGGGTACTTTCTGTGAGTACCTTCAAGCAGAGGATGACTCGTTTGACTGGAACTTAAAGATAGTTCCACTAACGGACAACAAAGCCAGGGCATCTAAGGGACATAACTCAGGTCAGTGGAAGATGTGCTTGGTGGTCTAGTCATGTACAGTTTGATTTGGGGAGCACATTGTGTACATGGTAAACAATCAGGTTGGTTTTAATAATATCAGTATTTACCCTCGATGCTTCCAGTCGTACGTTACCAACCTGCTGTGAATATGTGTGCAAACCCAGCCTCCTTTTTCATCCCCCGTGGGGGGCGGTCGGGTAGCCTAGTGATTAAAGCGTTCGCTCGTCATGCTGAAGACCCGGGTTCGATTCCCGACATGGGTACAATGTGTGAAGCCCATTACTGGTGTCCCCCAACGTGATATTGCTGGAATATTGCTAAAAGCGGCGTAAAACCAGACTCACTCACTCACTCATCCCCCGTGAAGATCGAGCAAGCTCTTCAGCAACTAATCAATCAATCAAGTTTGGCCCATAGTACAGTTGTAAGATAAATTATATTTTAGGTCACATATCACATATCCAGTTGTCGTAAGAGGCGAGCTGACTTGCTTGATGCAGGCGACTAACAGGATCGGATGGTCAGGATCGTTGATTTGGTTGATGCATGTCATCGTATCCCAACTGCGTAGATTGTTCAGGATTTCAATCACTGGAGTGTGTGGTCAAACGATTGAGCATCGATCTACGCAATTGGGATACGATGACATGCATCAACCAAGTCAACATATTCGCCTTTTACGGCAAGCAGGGTTTGCTGAAGACTTTGTCTAACTCGGATCTTCATGGGGGACAAGCAAGGGTTACGAAAGGCCTAATCTAACCCGGATCTTCACACCACGGGTATTTAACAACGCAAACTGGAGCCATGGGTGACCCAGTCGTCTAAGGCGCCGCAATTAGCTGGACAATTGAAATCTATGATCATGAGTTCGAATCCCGGTTCACCCTGATCTTGTTTCCAGGTTTGTCAACTCCATCCTGTACATGTGGGTTTCACCAAAGATGTAAACGTCTAAAACCTCCATCACTTCGGGCTTTCCTCCCACATTAAGCTTGCACGTTGTGATACGAAAATATTTTTCAAAGCGGCGATAAACTAAAGTCACTCAACGCAATAACAATGTGTCATTTCAACTTTCAGATCACTACCTCGAAGCCGATGGAACAAATCGAAACCCTGGAGACAAGACCAGAGTTATCTCCCCTGTTTTGAACACAACTGTCCCACAATGCATCAGTTTGCAGTTCAAGATTTACCCGCCCCTGTCCGGTACCTTGTCAATCTGTACAAAGTCAGTGTTCCACCACAATACCTTCCTGAATTGCAACATTTGGTCACGTGCGAGCAGCGAGGGAAATGATTGGACAGACGGCCATGCCCAGATCCCAGCGGCAACCTACCCTTACGGGATTGTCTTTCAGGCTGAGAGGGGACAGACGGCGGGTGTCATCGCCATTGATAACCTGGCCAAGAAAGACGGGGAATGCCACTTATAATGTTCAGTATTGATGCCAAGGATCCGACGAAAAGAGTTAAACGGGTACAAAGTTCATGGCATAGTAAGGAATTGAGAGTGAGTGACTGTTTACGTAAATGAGCCGGTCTGGGTCTAACAAACCAGTGGTTGATAGCATGAACAGCCAGTGACATAACTTTAAGGGAGAAAGTTTGTTTGTTTGTTTGTTTGTTGTTTAACGTTGCACTCAACAATAGTCCTGCTATAGAATAGGCCTTCAGCAACCCATGCTTGCCGTAAAAGGCGACTATGCTTGTCGTAAGAGGCGACTAAGGGGATCGGGTAGTCAAGCTCGCTGACGTGGTTGATGCATGTCATCGTATCGTGGATCGATGCTCACTATGTCAATCACTGGATTGTCTGGTCCAGACTCGATTATTTACAGACCGCCGCTGGAATATAGCTGGAATATTGTTGAGTGTTGACGTTAAACAACAAACCAACGCAATTAGGTTTAGTCGTAGTTTATAACTCACTTAGCGAAATGAGTTCAGGATGGAGAATGCGGGTAAACTGACCATTCACAGGCTTTACATCTGCATCCATGTACGCCGAACATCACTACAACTTGGTCCAGATTGACGGACAGAAGATGGATTACGAGCATCAAGTGTGTATGTTATGATCGAATAGCGAACACTGTTATACACAAACGTCCAATTGTTACTGTGTCTTACCCAGACTGAAGTGGAAACCTGAAATATCTCAGGGTGGCCCGTGTCTTGCCACTGTTGTCACAGACAACATACTGAGTATTAACCTATTGTCCTGGGGTCAGGGGTTTGCAAAGTGGCGTAATATTTCACAATTTTTGATTATTGTGGGCATATCCATTATACGACAAATGAAGTAACTGTTCGATGAATTTTCAAAATCGTAATTTCTTCTTCTCTGTTTTCAGAAATGACAAATATTTCCTCGTTTGTTGTATTGTCGTCTATATCTTGACCCACGTTGTATTCATCGATGCATTGCCAATACACACAGGTATCAGCGGTTCATTAAAGTTATATATGAGTCAAAGGTTTTACTGGTGTATCAACGACGTCAAAGTATGATTGTTTATACATTTTCATTATGAATATTGACACTCTGAGCTTTGAATCATCTTGATTTCCAGCGTGTTGATAGTAAATCAGGCTATGTATTCATTGCTATTGTAAATGCTTGTATATCAGCCTTTGTTTACAAACTTGAAGATGTTTCAATTACAGATTTATTTTATATGTTATATATATTTCTAAAAAAATAAACTTTGTTAATTAAATTTAGTAGCTTGTTTTTCACATATATCCAAACAAACTCTCGTGCCGCTGGGTGGAGGGTTTGCTCGTGAGGCAGAGAACAGTGAATGTGTCGAGTCAGCTCCACGTGCACCGCATGACTCCACCCCAGTTCAAAGGAAATGTTTTTAATGACGGCTGTTGTCCCCAAACGCTGTGTTCACGCCGGTTTTTTCTTACCGCCGCCATCTTTAAAAGTCCAGTTTCCACCCTTGCCAAGCTGGGCTGGAATTTCTGGGCTCGATCGTAGCACCACCAGTAGCCAGTGAGTTATGTCCCTTCTATGCCCCTCCTATTGACCAATCAGATTCCACCTCTCATTTCACTCGCATTTGCTTCAAACAAAACGGGGGCGGTCGGGTAGCCTGGTGGTTAAAGCGTTCGCTCGTCACGCCGAAAACCCGGGTTCGATTCCCGACATGGGTACAATGTGTGAAGCCCATTTCTGGTGTCCCCCGCCGTGATATTGCTGGAATATTGCTAAAAGCGGCGTAAAACCATACTCACTCACTCACTCAAACAAAACGGCGGCGCCCAATCATGACGATCAGTTACAGTCAGTTAAATACCTTGGCTCATGAACATGCACCGTCGCCGTAGTCCAAATGTGACAGTGCTCTTACAACTGGTCATACGTAACGCTATTTAAGGCGGCGTGCTTCAGGCCGCATGACTGCATGGACCATTCCCATCTTGTATGGTAGACAATATCCTTGAGTAAGTGAGTCATCACACCCGGGGCCTTTTGAGGAGACACCTTCATCAAACAATACCGAACACCGAGTGATGTAAAAACACGTCCCCCATAGCACCCAGTGAACACGTGGAAGATGGGTGTGTTTTTTTTATTTAAAGCACTCGGCAGTAGTCCAACTATGTGCCAGCGGCCTTTAAATGATCAATTTTGGGCCCGATGAAGTAGTGATTGATATTACAACTTACTATCCATGTCGTGAGGTTCGATGCCACGCACGGCAGCCCGTTCATTTTTTAGTCTGGTCCGGACAAACTCTTGACTGAAAGCAACGATCCACACCTTAGGGTACGATGATTTTTGTTGTTGTTGTTGTTGTTTAACACCACACTCATCAATATTCCAGCTATATGACGGGGGTCTGTAAATAATCTAGTCTGGACCAGACAATCCAGTCATTGACACCATGAGCATCGATCCATGTAATGGGGATACGATGACATGCATCAACCAAGTGAGCGAGCCTGACCACCCGATCCCGTTAGTCGCCTCTTACGACAAGCATAGTCGCCTTTTACAGCAAGCATTGGGTACGATGACATGCAATCGGTCCGATATTGTAACCTCATAGTACTTGTATAATAATACTGAAATATACCCACTCGAAACAACAGCAATTTTCGTGATAAATATGCCAAGAATGCTGTTCCGTTGAAATGATAGGACAGCACATACGGCAACTGTGACGGCACAAAGCAGCACGACATGCACGTGCAGCATGCCACCAAAGCATTTTTCAAAATACAGAATCTGTACACAGCAATTGTGGGTATTAATCGTCACTGTCTTGCATTGTTGAAGTATTATCTGTGAACATGGCACGAAGAAGGTTATCAGAGACGCAAAGATGGCGTATTATTGATGTGCATTCGACCGGCCATCTTCCCAAAGCAAGGGAGTGAACTGACTGAAAACGTCCAGTTTCCACCCTAGCCGTACTAGGCTCCAATTATGGAGTTATGTTTTGGCTGGACCAACGAATCTATGCAAAGTCCAATCAAAATCGCGTTGCGACATCGACATCCGGTTCGTAAACAACATGGATTTCAACGTCCAGATTTCAATCGACTGCAGGATTAGCAAAAGATGTGTACCGTCAACTGGGCGTCGACAGATGTTTTCCGAATCTTTTCATGATTTTTATTCAGGTGTTCAAGTGATGTGATGCACTTCGCGGGGTAAGACCTGTTTTATTACAATATATAACTTGATTATCAATCAGATCGCCTTGACTGGGCGCCACCTCTTTGTTTGAAGCAAATGCAAGTGATACGAGAGGTGAAATCTGATCGATTAACAGGAGGACATAGAAGGGACATAACTCGTAATAGCCACTGGTGGCGCTGCGATCGAGCCCAGAAATTCGAGCCTAGTTCGGCAAGGGTGGAAACTGGACTTTTAAAGTCAGTTAACTCCCTTGCCTCGGGAAGATGTCAGCAGACATGACCTACAAAAGCATAGGCGGCAACTCTTGGCTTTCATTAAATCGTTATAAGCAGACTGGTACAAAAACACGGACCAGCCAATGCTGTACAGGATCTCCCACGGTCAGGAAGATCTCGCGTGACGTCAAGGCGGGAGGATGTGGCCCCGCTTCGGCTTCAACGTCATCAACCATCTGCGCCAATGGTTACACAATAGACGGATGTCAACAATAACGGTCAGAAAGCGGCTGAAATCGGCGGGAATGAAGTCCAGGAGGGTAATCAAGCGTCCCTTCCTTGCCGATCATCATCATCGGAGAGTGAGTGAGTGAGTGAGTTGGGTTTAACGCCGCTTTTAACAGTATTCCAGTTATATCGCGGCGTGTCAGCTTAATGTGAGAGGAAAGCCCGAAGTGATGCAGGTCTCAGACGTTTACCACTTCGGTGACACCCACGAGTACGGGTATGGTGCTGACAAACCTAAAAACATAATCGGGGTGAACCGGGATTCGAACCCACAATCATAGGTTTCTGGCGTGCCCAAGGAACGCAACTCTGCACAGCGAATCGCGGCGCCTTAGACGACTGGGCCACCCGTGCCCCCTATCATCGGAGAATTCTTTTCGCATGGTGTTTGGCCCGGGGAGCTTCGAATCTGAGGACTTTGCGAAGAGTCCATCGGTCCGATGAAATCAGGTTGCTGCGGATGTCACGGATTGCTGACCCACCGGTCTGTACAGACAGCTCGTCATCGGGAATGGCTGCAGTTGCCAATTCAGCTGGAGGTAAGAGACGAAAGCTTGAAGATGTAATCAGGGCAGTTGTCCCCGCTGTTGAGGATTAATGTCATGAATGTCATCTTTGGACTGAAAAAGATCATCGATCAGGATTTCGGATTGTGTTCTTGACTCTGCTGCACCTCCATACGTATTGTGTGTTGCACTAAAGCAATGCCTCGGGGGTTTTGCTAGTATCATGATAAAAATCTCAAAACAGGATAAACTTTTAATGTTTCCTTATTGTCAGAGGTGTATTCTTGTAAACCACATTCGTTTTTTCGACGTTGTTATCAGGGTTTCAATGCCAACACTCTAACGACCCGTTATTATAACGTCGCGTCCAAGATTATTGCACTTGTATAGCGACGTGCATGGCTGCTTGTACTAGTCCGGGCTGATGCCGATTTATAGTGCTAGCCAACTGAAATACCATGCCGCAGTTTGACATGAATACCCCACTCGGACACAGTATACTGACCCCGAGCCGACCAGTCCTTGTGTTAGCCCCTTAATGCCGAGCGCCAGACAGGGAAACAAGAACTACCATCTTTTGAGACCTGTTGAGACCCATTCTGCCCCGAAATATCCGTGGGGCCAAAACTTTGGGATCATGGTTCTTGACAAAATGCGCTTACAACTAGTTCCAACCCCAGCTGGAGGCACAGGTGGCCCAGTCGTCTAATGCGCCGCAATTCCCTATGCAGAGTTGCGCCCTTTGGTCACGCCAGAAACATGATTGTGGATTCGAATCCCGGTTCGCCCCGATTACGTTTCTAGGTATTTCAGCGCCATATATATGTTCCAACTGCATGATGATATATTTCAGAGTTTCATTTGGTTAGACTACTTTCTAGAATGTGGTAAAGAAAGATAATATTCGAATGCACAACGAACGTGTGAGAGGCAGATATTGGTGAAAATAGAGATTTATGTGTGAGACTATGACGAGTGTATACAAGGTCAGTGTCCCTAGGAGTTCTCCATCGCTTCAACCTGCGAGAATGATATTCATGGACGTCATGACGTCGTCCGAAATTTCCTTCCTTGGTAAAGTTAGTCTATATTTAACCCAAGGTAAAAACAAATGGGGTCTACGCGTGCAACCAATTACTGGTGAAAAACACGTTCAAGAAGTGAGGGCACTACCGTGTTTACCACTTCGGTGAAACCCACGAGCACGAGTATGGCGCTGACAAACCTAGAAACGTAATCGGGGCGAAACGGGATTCTTTGATGTTGGGGGCGCACCATCGTTATGTAACCATCTCATAGTTTTCTTGCTACTTACCGAGTACCTCGCTCATCTTCTAATAAGTTCAGTTATATAAAGTGAATTTTCGACGGGCCTGACAGGGTAGTCGACCACCGGTTCGCATGGCCCACACTCGATTATTTACAGGACGCCTTGATAGAGCTGGAATTTTGCTGAAACAACATCCACTTATAGTTAACGTCAAACAACCCGCATACCTCACACATACGTTGAAGATACGAACTGTTAATAACTGTCCGAGTGTCTTTACTCGTCGGTGGTGGGGCGGGGGCTTGTCAAATGTTTGGATGACCCTCTTCATGTCTTTGAAAATACATTTCATGACTCTCAGCCTACATTTTGAGCAGGACATTACCCATTTCCTTCATTTTCCCGCGTTTCCATGGCATCGCTTTGAGAATGGTAAATGCGATGTCTCAAAGTGGACGAATAGAGAGATAAGCAGTCTCGTCAATGAAATATCTCCCAAAATGAGAAAGCACTTTATTTGTCATTTTGTCAAAATGTCAATTTTTTCACGACTCTCCTCAAATGTGTGTATTATGTTTTTTTATTACCCTCCCTTAGAGACTGTCATATTTTTGGTGATATTGTCCTGATTCTCTCTGACCCACCCCCTCCATAATAAATAACCGATCCCTATAAGTGCAGCACAAAGAGTAAATAAATGTGTTTTAAGTTGAATTTGGGTGAAACAACAGCTGAGAAGTTTGGTGTCCGTTAACCTGCCGTTAGTCCTACTGTGGGCACAGAAACGTTTATGCCGACTTTGTTCAGCAATACCGGGCGAGAACTAAATGTAACTGGTTCCACTGTTGGTACGCGCCGTAAGCTAAGCGCTCAGGTAGAAAGGAGCCCAGTCATCGTTGAAGTAAATAGAATTACCTCCCTTTACCAACATGGCTGCTCCCTCGGAGCACGATGTGTCCGGACCAGTTGTTGTCAGTGCTAACAGTAACAGGAAGGTTTTCGGTGGCGGAAAAGGTGAAAGTTAGAATACAGTTGGCCACGTTCAGTCAAACAATATACCTAGCTGGACTTACAGTTGGGCTCAGTGAGCTGACATCAACTTTATCATTTTGGCAGTGCTGTACCCTTTTTTCGTGGACATGGTGTCATTGAAATGAAAAACACCAACCAATTCTGTATTTTACCTGCAGTGACATTCGCCTAACACGTCTTCCAACTAAATAGTTTGAGAACAAAAAGTTCGAACCATTGCTAACAAATGTCACACAGAACAGTGAAAGATATGACTGTTTCAATACGTTTTTAATGCATGTGAAAGGGTGCAGGCTAAAACGGCACCTCAGCAAAACGTCACCGATTTCTCTGGCGAAAACGGCACCGCATTTGGCGAAAACGGCTACTATGTGTCGGGCGAAAACGGCACCTCTATTTTTAATAACGATAAGAACGATTTTGTAGTAATATATAGGGTCCACTGGGTCCACTGGGTCCACTGGTCACAGTTATCACATGATACAGCATGTTGATTTCTTCTGACATTCTTCTCGCATGCTACACATCTAAAGGCCATATAAATAATTGTGATCTGACAGCATCATGTTTGGCCTCTTAAATACAGTTTCAGCTTAAATTGAGTAAAGGTACTTAAAACTTCAATGCGTAAAGTGATTTCACAATAAGTTAACTACGCCTCCCAATCGGAGTTGGTGAGTAAATTGGAGTAGGGGGCTAATTTCTTATTTGTGTTATTTCACAATTAGTTGTGTTTGTAAGAGACGATGTGAGTTTAATTTCTATTATTTTTCTTCAAAGCATGTTATGTTTTCTCAATCAGTTGAGTTGCGTATAAGCTAAGTTGGATTATAGTTGGAGTAGAGGTTAATTTTTTAATGTAAACTTGTTTTAACATCTCACAATTATTGGCGCTTGCAAGTTACAATGTAAGTTTAATATCATTTATTTGACAAAGGTAAAACAAAAAAATAAGGTGCCGTTTTCGCTCGAGTCGAGGTGCCGTTTTCGCCAATCGGTGCCGTTTTCGCCCAGTGACATTTTGCTGAGGTGCCGTTTTTGCTATAACCCCATGTGAAATACAGACAGTGTTTCCATCAGTGTTTCAAGTGAAGCAAGCAAGTTGTGAAAAGGGAGGGTGTGTACTGCTCCATCGCTGCTTCCCTGGGAATTTTGTACATGTTGTATATATTATTGCTTCATAATCTTCAAATACTATAGCCAGAGCCCCACATAAGCTGTGTAATTGTGTAGAATATCCAAAATAGATCACCATAGACCAATTAAATTTGAGTTGCCTGTCGCTTTCTGCTTAATGGGTCCGCAAGTGAACAGAAGAAAAGTTGAAGTTTGAAATAGGATTTTAAGCAGAATTATTTTTTAAAACATCTTCTGGTTAGCTTTAAAATACCTGACAGACTGGATTGAAGGTAGTAAAAATATATCAAATACCCAACGAAACCATGAAATACCCAGTGTGAAAGATAAAATGTGAGTAATATTCAACGTACCCCCCTGGTATGAAAAATTATCTGGAGCTCTGTCCATGGCCAATAGATTTGAGTACTTATTTACCATTCTTACCTTTCCAGGGTAATTGGCATTGCAGATTTGTGTCCCTTAGCTACCAGAATCTGCTAGTCATAGATTGACAGGATCCATCCGGATCAGCCCATGGGGATCCCATGTTAGAATAGGTCCTCAGCAACCTATGCTGGTTGCAAGAGGTGAACAGATCAGGTGGTCCGGCTCGGTGACTAACCATTGTTCATGGCATGTCAACATACGTCTACATTATGAATCATTGCTCATATCAATCACAGGATTGACGATTATATATTCACTTGATTATTTACAGGCTGCCGTACAACCCAACCCACCCCCCACCAACACACTCACAGAGATCACTTTCACAGATCAGATTACTTACATTTCCTCATGACCTGTTTCTGTAGTGTTAAAAATTTTGTTGAAAGCAACTTTTTAAACCCAAACTCTCACACAACTAATATTTATGTTACCAGGTACTGCTAGGCGTGTAGCTCACCAGATACCAGAAGAAATACTGAATGATCCGAAAATTCAAGCTGCAGTGAAAACAGTGAGTGTGTTAATTACCATATAAATCTGAATATGTAAAATGTGTCCCCGCAATATTCCAGCAACATCACGGCGGGGGACACCAGAATTGGGCTTCACACATTGTACCCATGTCAGGAATCGAACCCGGGTCTTCAGTGTGATGAGCGAACGCTTTAACCAATAGGCTACCCAACCACCAACCAAGAATCCAAGCATCGTGTATTATAATCTCTATGTATTATATAAATCAATATTTGTGTTTGTAAGGTTATAATAGTGAAAAAAGTACATTCAATTAAACTCAACTTTTTGTGATTGTAATTTAAGCATTTCCTACACCTTGCATTGTACAAGCCATCAAGTCGGTTGAGTCACTTAGAGCGTTCGCTCATCACGACGAAGACTCGTGTTTGATTCGCACATTGGTACAATGTCCATGTCTGGTGTCCCCCGTGATATTGCTGGAATATTGCTAAAAGTGGAGTAAAACCATACCCAACTCACTACACTTCATCATTGTTTTCACAGCAGTAGGGGTTGTAAAATTCTGAACTAGATACAAGAATAATAAAGAAAATAAAGAGTAATAAACAAAATTGAGTACAACTCATTATTTTCGACAGTCGATTACAAAATCTCAGCCAGTTCCCATCATTTTGTTTTGTTCTTTTGTCTTAAAGTTGCCTTCTAACTACAACTTTGAGATCTACAAGACAGTTTGGAAGATTCGCTTCTCTGGCGCCAAGAGAGTTGCTCTGCAGTTCCCAGAAGGGCTGCTGCTGTTTGCCTGTACGGTAGCAGACATCATTGAACAGTAAGTTGTAAAGATTAACCGATGTCTACGTGTCATCATGACATCAGTACTTAAATTGTCAGTTTGTGAGATCGTGATACCCTATAAATAGAACAGGAACTGATGGAGTTTCCTCCCGTAACGGCAGAGGTAGAATAGCACCATCTGTAAACATGGCGTAACATGAGGACGTAGTGGTGGTAGTGGACGTCCCCAGTGCATTTTAGTCTTCAGTTTTGAAAACTCTCTAAACAGACAAGGAGGTTGCATTTTGTTTTTTGCGTATGTTTTGAGATAATAATAAATAAATGTATGAAGCAAGAGGTTTTGGAGTTATAATTCAGTGATTTCATCATTTCTTACTATTTTTTTTATGTATCATGATCATGATGATACCAGTAGTACGTCAGACAGTATTGTGATGCGTGTTGTATCATTAGTTCGCAGGTTGGTTGGTTTGTTGTTTTACGCCGCACCCAACAATATTCCAGCTATATGATGGCGGTCTGTAAATAATCGAGTCTGGACCAGACAATCCAGTGATCAATATCATGAGCATCGATCCACTCATTTGAGATATGATGACATGCATCAACCAAGTCAGCAAGCCTGACCACCCGATCCTGTTAGTCACCTCTTACGACAAGCATAGTTACCTTTTACGGCAAGCATGGGTTGCTGAAGATCTATTCTACCCCTTGTGGTACGATGTGTATCACAAGATCGCAGGTGATACTCGGCTCAAGTAAGTGGCAATCCTAGATTCTGGAATACTTGTGTCTGTTAAGCTTTCTAACTAGTACTTCTTTTAAGAACCTTATGGATGCTCATGCTATTGACCTCGGTTCAGGTAAGGAAGATGGCTTTAATTTCAGTGCATATGACCAATACAAATATAACATTGTCCAAAGAACTGACCTTGTCGGACTTGGATCAGTTTTTTGTTTAAGATATCAAAGAGATAAAGATGTTTTTTAAACAGTTTTAAAATAATATTGATGAATAGATTTTCATTTGATTTCCAGATCTTTCTAGGTAGGTACCTTGAACTAGATTCCCATGACTAGATATTGTAGTCTAGGAAAAGATACTTTGCTAGATATAGAAATCAGTGTGACATCATCTATCTGTATATGTGCACATACTTATAGCACGCATATATTATCATGAGTATTGGGCATAATATCTGTCATCATAAAACCAGACCCGTGAAGATCCGGGGTAGAATAGGTCTTCAGCAACCCGTGAATGCTGTAGAAGGCAACTATGCTTGTCATAAGAGGGGACTAATGGGATCGGGTGGTCAGGCTTGCTGACTAGGTTGATATCAATTACTGGGATATTGCTAAGTGCGGCGTTAAACAACAAACAAACAAACAACATCATAATACCATGAAGCCCCGACTGTGTGTGTTTCCCTTTTCAGTCTATGTAAAAACAGAATAGGATTAGGAAGGTCATTTGTTAATGTGTTGTTTTTTTTGTCCCATTAGGCTCCCTGTTTACAATAAGTCCCTAGCAACCTATGCTGGTTGTTAAGAGGTGACCAAATGGATCAGGCGGTCATTCCCGGTGACTTGGTTAACAGCGTGTCATCGTACCCGACGACGTGGATCGTTGCTCACAATATCAATCACTGGATTGTCTGGTCCAGAATTGATTATTTACAGACTGCCATCATATAGTTGGAATATTGCTGGGTGTGGCGTAAAACAACAAACAAACACGCTTAAAAGTAAAACAATAAAAACACAGAGTTATTTTTTTCATGCTTTCTTATTTTCTCTGTGATGTGTTGACGTACACTTGTCTAGTGGTTTAGATTACAGACAGTATCGGGATGAAGAGAACTGACAAAAAGGGTTCAGGGTGAGGGCTCAGATTAGGACCAATATCACTGAAATCAGATCTTAGTTCTCGATATCGCTAAACAAAGATCTGAGGACATCCCATTACGGGTCACGTCAGAACGACCTTTCATCTGACCAATCAAAGTGTCGCTTACCAGATCATGATAGTGACAGTCGGAATGTATTTTCTAATAATGCAACCTCGAAAAGGTTAAGGGCTATTCCGAATGACAGTTACGGCCCGTAGACTGATTCTGTCAAAATTATCGTCTATCTCTCGCTTCTGTGGAATAAACATTTGAACGGAGGTTGCGTTGCACAGTACATTGGAACCACTGCCATACAATTTCAACCATATATTCGACATTCTGGAACTGTGTCAACATATTTTTCAAGTGTAGTCTGAAATGGAAGTCGCCAGGTTGAAACGAGGGCCGTAAAGCTCTAGAAAGCTGCTTTCTAGTTGGCTGATGTCAACTTCATGTTAGTCGGTTCAGTGGGCGGTCAAAATTCACGAAAGGTCGTCTGGACGTGACCCATAATGGGATGTCCTCAGATCTTTGTCAAGCGGCAGCGAGATCTGATTTTAATGAGATTGGATTAGGACCTGGTCAGGAGACTGGCATCTTCCAGAGGCACGGGAGTTAACTGAGTATAAAAGTCCTGTTTCCACCCTTGCCGAACTAGGCTGGTATTATGGAGTTACATTTTGGCTTGACTTGAGTCTATGTATAGTCCAATCAAAATCTCGTAACAAAATCAACATCCGGTTCATAAACAATATGGAGTACAATGTGCAGATTTCAGTTGATTGCAGGATTTTCAGAGGATGTGTACCGTCAACTGGACGTTGACAGATATTTTCCAAATCATTTCATGTTTTTAATCAAGATCCTCATGTGATTTGATGCCTTTGCGAGGTATGACCTTTCTATTACAATATAGATCTTGATCATTGATCAGATGCTCTTGACTGGGTGCTGCCATTTTGTTTAAAGCAAATGCAAGTGACTTGAGAGGTGGAATCTGATTGGTCAACAGGAGGGGCATAGAAGGGACATAACTCCTGGGAATTCCAGCCTAGTTAGGCAAGGGTGGAAACTGGACTTTTACTGACAGTTTACTCCCTTTTCTTGGGAAGATGGGAAACTGGAATCAGTTATATTTTGGGGGGTTGTAACTGTTGTTGAAGCTGATGTTCAGAGTGGCTACCCTCTTGTTCCAGGTTTACAGAAGCCGACACGCTGATCATGGGCGACGTGACGTATGGTGCGTGTTGTGTTGATGACTTCACTGCCAAGGCCCTGGGGGCAGATCTCATGGTGCACTACGGTCACAGCTGTCTCGGTAAATAGACTGCAGGGCCAAACAATGTTCTGTTTTTGTTTGTTGTTTTTTTAAGGCCGCACTTGGCAATATTCCAGCTATATGACGAAGTTCTGTAAATATTTGTATCTGGATCAGACGATCGAGTTATTGGCATCATGAGCATCAATCTACACGATTGGGTTACAATGACATGCATCTACCAAGTCAGCGAATCTGACCACCTTATCTTGTCAGTCACCTCTTACGACAAGCATGAGTTGCTGAAGACATGGTTGATTGTGTCATCGTACCCTGATGGCATTGATTGTTACTTGCATTAACAATCACTGGATTGTTTGCTTCAGATGCAATAATTTTAACAATAACAGTGCAGTCAATGCAGTCATGTAAAGCTAAGTATTTAGGCCTCTATAGGTCCTGTTCAGTGAAACACTATGTTATTATGAAATACTATGTTATTATGAAATACTATGTTATTATGAATTATTATTATTATTATTATTATTATTATTATTATCAGTACCAATAGACCGCACAGAAGGGATACAGATGCTATATGTGTTTGTGGACATCAAGATCGACACGCTTCACTTCCTGGAGACAGTGCGGTACAACTTCCAGGCTGGCGCCAAACTGGCGCTGGTCAGTACCATACAGTTCGTGGCTGCCCTGCAGGTGGGTACTGTCTCCATCAGCTTTCAGGAACAATTTTACTGACATGTGTTTTCTGAGTTTCAAATTGGTTCATTTTCTAAGACTGTTTGTAATGCCAAATGTCTTTAAAAAATTTACACAAGTGGTATTGATTTCATGGAATATCCTATCAACATGATCAATGTTTCGAGAATGTCCTGTTTGTATCCAGACCTGTGAAGTTCCGGGGTGGAATAGGTCTTTAACAACCCATGCTTGCCATGAAAGGCGACTATGCTTGTCGTAAGAGAACAGGTGGTCAGGCTCATTGACTTGATCGATGCATGTCATCTTATCCAAATTGCGTAGATCGACGCTCATGATGTCAATGACTAGATCGTCTGGTCCAGACTCGATTATTTACAGACCGCCGTCATGTAGCTTGAATATTGCTGAGTGCGGCGTTACACAACAAACAAAACCAAAACCAAAAACTTTGTTGCGTGGAAGGTAGCAGATTATAAGAGTTCTTATTGTTATTCGTAGTAGTAGTGAGCACAACTCTGCAACTTGTAGTCTGCATGTGTACATATTGTTATTTCAAAATTTACTTTTCTATAAATTTGTGCTTCTGCGGTGATGCGGTCATCAAATCATCTGTTTCAATCAGAGGTGGTTATTGTGATTTGAAACCTCTGATTGATGTTTTGAAATGTTGGTGATGTTCTGTCATGAGTTTATTCCATGTCTTCCCCCATGGAAGTTCCAATTATCAATCTCTGCCGTCATCCCGAGGCAAGGGATGTTAACTGACTGTAAAAGTTAACTGACTGTAAAACTCCCAGTTTCAACCTTTGCCGAACTAGTCCGGAATTTCTGGGTTCGATCATAGCGCCACCAGTGAAGTGAATCAAATCACATGAGCAAGATTTGAAAAATATCTCTTGATGCTAAGTTCACGGTACACATGCTTTGCAAATCCTGCAATCGACTGAAATCTCCATGTCAGTTTATGAATGTTGATTTCCTTATGAGATTTTGATTGGACTATACAAAGACTCATTAGTCCAGCCAAAATTGAACTCAATAATTCCAGCCTTGCCTCTGGAAGATGCCCTCTGCTGGTCATAAAAGGTCCAGTGGTCCATTCATTGGATTGTCTGGCCCAGATTCGATTACTTACAGGCCATATAGCTGGAATATTGCGAGTTCGGCACTAAACAACAAACAAACTCCATATGTTTTCAGGGAGCCAGTCAGGATCTGAAGTCAGATTACCAGGTGACCATTCCACAAGCCAAACCCTTGTCACCAGGGGAGATCCTCGGCTGCACATCGCCACGGCTACAAGACATCGATTCCATCATGTAAGTCATCAACACATTCTCTGTGGATTCATTGACCAAAGAGGCTGCCTCTGTGGTCCAGTGGATAGCGAGTCTCCCCAGTGAGGGGAAGCTCAGGGGTTCGATCTATGGCTGCATCGTACCGAAAGATGATAAAGGGTGGTCAAGGTTGCTGACGTGGTTTGATTCATGTCATCGTATCCCAATTGCGTAGATCGATGCTCAGGATGTCAATCACTGGATTGTCTGGTTCAGACGTATTTACCAAGGCAACAGAGACAAAACGCCAAGAAAAATCTTCAAAATGTAGTAATATTGGAAATCGAACCCATGCGTGAAGATTGAACATTTTAACCACTCGGCTACATCGCTGTCTCCGGTATGCTGAAGAATACTTTTAGCTTATACACAACTGTACTATCATTTGATTCCATGGAACAACCATTTACAGGAATTCCAATATTGTATAACAACATTTTTTTAGCACTTATAAAGGCTTCTTTCCAAAGACTATATAACAATAGTCAATGAAAGTCTTTATCTGTAGGTGAAGATGTCCTGTTCTTGATCTTTGTTAGCATTAGGTTTCATACAGATGCATGTCATCGTATCCCAATTGCATGGATCGATGCTCATGATGTCAATCACTGGATTGTCTAGTCCAAACTTGATTAATTACCACTTTCATATAGTTTGAATACTGCTGAGTGCGGCATTTAACAACAAACAAACAAACTTGGAGTGTTGACATTTGATACCCATGTGCCTGCCTATCAGTAGACCAATCCTAGCCAAACTAGGGAATTGTTACTTGGCGTACACAGTAATTCATTTACTGATGACAAATACCTGATGCTGCTTCTAATACTGACTTACTGAAATGGAACTTTCAGCTACCTGGGAGATGGCCGATTCCACTTGGAGTCCATCATGATTTCCAACCCCGAGATACCTGCGTACAGGTGAGTGTCTAAACATCATTCGAAGTCGGGGGCACACCTTTTCATTGTGTTGTTTATTATCCCCCTCCATGAAGTAGAAGGGGGAAATAGGAATGGGTGCCAATTTTTCGTTTCTGGAGAACTCAAACACCATGAGATATCTTAACCAAACTTGGCACATAGATAGGTCTGGTGGTGAACTGATGCCTTTTGATAGTTTGGGATTTTTGAAAACTTTGTTTTTTGAGTTTCCATGGCAATGACTTTGACTTAGACTTAAATGGCAGTAGTGCTTTTTTCCGGAGCAGATTTTGAAGACTGTACAATATTTCTTACCTCGTACGCAATTGGTGGAGGATATGAGTATTTCATGCTTGTTTTGTCAGATATGTGATGCATATATGATGCATACAACTACCACTTTAGCTTCGACATACAGGGGCTTGTTAGGAAAGCCTGTCTACTGGCCCACCTACCATTACCTGTAATAATATCAAGGTCTATGCAATTTTTGTGGGCAATTAAAGGGGGACTAAGCTCCGACAATTTGACAGTCCCAGCAAATTTCTTCAGGTCGTTCAAACACCATTGTTAAAGCATATTTTGTGATGCAGATCAGTTAGGATTAATAAATACCCTAATTACACAGCGACAATGTCTCTGGTCCACGCTAATTATGTTGCCTGGATGTATGCTGGAAATTACACAGCGACAATGTCTCTGGTCCACTCTAATTATGTTGTCTGGATGTATGCTGGAAATTACACAGCGACAATGACTCAGATCCAGTCTAGTTACGTTGTCTAGATGTATGCTGGAAATAACACAGCGACAATGACTCAGATCCAGTCTAGTTAAGTGTCTAGATGTATGCTGGAAATTACACAGCGACAATGACTCAGATCCAGTCTAGTTAAGTTGTCTAGATGTATGCTGGAAATAACACAGCAACAATGACTCAGATCCAGTCTAGTTACGTTGTCTAGATGTAGACTTGAAATGGGCATCAGACCATGGAGCCCACCTTTAAGACAACAGGGATTAATCTAGACCTGCTTAGAGACTGATATTCAGTTGCTAAAATCGGCGTAAAACCATACTCACTCACTCACTCACTCATGTCAGAATGATGAGATCTGATTGGCACACCTGATCTTGATAATATAAGGGTAATGCTATTTTTCAGGGCATTATCATTTGCAGAAGCTCTCGGACCGAGGGCTTCTGCAAATGATAATGCCCTGAAAAAAAGCGTTACTGTCATTAAAGCTAAAATGGATAGAATTGGTTATAAAATAAAAATAAACAATATCGGTTTTGAAACATTTTGTGCAATCAACATGAATTTCACTGACCCACTTTTACAAAAAAGGAAACGTCATAGAACAAACCAGATGACGTCACTACTGAGCGTGACGTCACCTTTCCCTATCCCTAGGACGTCACCTAACAATAGGCGTGATAATGGCCCGTCTTCAAGCAATATGAGGGCATTTTCAAGTTACAGTGGCCCGCTCATCTCTGATAACATGCGGGCAGTTTCATGATAATTCTATCCATTTTAGCTATAAAATGCTATGTATCCCGCATGGGAGAGAAATAAATTTCGGAGCGGGTGAGTTAATCCCTAAACCCCGCCATGAAGAAGACAGGCTGCACATGGATTTTTGAGCGGGTGAATAAATCCCTTATACTCGGCTTTGAAGCAAAAAGCTGCATGCTTTTTCCGAATGCGCTGGCTCGTGATATAAAACCTAATGCGGGACGCATGAAAACACATATACCCCTTGTGATTTTTTTGTGGTACCTTCTCTTTGCAGGTATGACCCATATGATAAGAAGTTTACACGGGAGTACTATGACACTCCCAGAATGCATCAGGTCAGACAGGAAGCTATTGCCCGTGCAGCACGAGCAAGGAAGATCGGAGTTGTGCTCGGCACCCTGGGAAGGCAAGGGTCGCCCAAGATTTTGGAGGTAATTTTCATTTAAGGAATATTTTCACTTTTGAACTTTGATAAGTCTTTCTTCAAGTTACATCAGGTGTGAAGATGATTGTACTGTACTGGCATCTTTCCTGTTTCTTTAAGCTTTGGTTCAGGGATCCTCAGACTTAAAAAAATGAAATTTTTCTGACTTGCTTAAAATTTTAAGGAAATCAAAAATAACGTTTGAACTTGATATATATGTATATTTTTCACTTATACAAGCCTGAATTTTTTATCGAAAAATCTGTAACCCGAAAAATAAGAAGTCAGGCAAAACAGACATTTCTTTGTACCTGCTAAAGATTTTATCACGTTTGTTGCACGTTCCAATTTCTTCATGTTTATGTGAAAGATAAACTATTCATGTCAGTAGACAGGAGCCCAGTTACATAGCTTGTCTGTAGACAGGAGCCCAGTTACGTTGCTTGTCTGTAGACAGGAGCCCAGTCACATTGCTTGTCTGTAGACAGGAGCCCAGTTACGTTGCTTGTCTGTAGACAGGAGCCCAGTCACGTTGCTTGTCTGTAGACAGGAGCCCAGTTACGTTGCTTGTCTGTAGACAGGAGCCCAGTTACGTTGCTTGTCTGTAGACAGGAGCCCAGTTACGTTGCTTGTCTGTAGACAGGAGCCCAGTTACATTGCTTGTCTGTAGACAGGAGCCCAGTCACATTGCTTGTCTGTAGACAGGAGCCCAGTCACATTGCTTGTCTGTAGACTGGAGCCCAGTCACATTGCTTGTCTGTAGACAGGAGCCCAGTTACGTTGCTAGTCTGTAGACAGGAGCCCAGTTACGTTGCTTGTCTGTAGACAGGAGCCCAGTTACGTTGCTTGTTTGTAGACAGGAGCCCAGTCACATTGCTTGTCTGTAGACAGGAGCCCAGTTATGTTGCTTGTCTGTAGACTGGAGCCCAGTCACATTGCTTGTCTGTAGACAGGAGCCCAGTTACGTTGCTTGTCTGTAGACAGGAGCCCAGTTACGTTGCTTGTCTGTAGACAGGAGCCCAGTTACGTTGCTTGTCTGTAGACAGGAGCCCAGTTACGTTGCTTGTCTGTAGACAGGAGCCCAGTCACATTGCTTGTCTGTAGACAGGAGCCCAGTTACGTTGCTTGTCTGTAGACAGGAGCCCAGTCACATTGCTTGTCTGTAGACAGGAGCCCAGTTACGTTGCTTGTCTGTAGACAGGAGCCCAGTTACGTTGCTTGTCTGTAGACAGGAGCCCAGTCACATTGCTTGTCTGTAGACTGGAGCCCAGTCACATTGCTTGTCTGTTTCAGCATATCCAGGAGAAGATCCAGACATCAGGCAGACACTTCATCACGGTGCTGCTGTCGGAGCTCTACCCAGACAAACTGAAGCTGTTCCACGATGTTGATGCGTTAGTATTGTCTACATTTACAGTAGTCAACTTCAACTTTAAAACTGCATTACTTTTTGTCATTGTTATTCTTTTTTTGTGTTAAAAAATGTATGTCTAAATGTACACTAATGTACATGAGGGTCTGTTGGGTAGCCTTATGGTTTAAGCGTTTGCTTGTCATTCTGAAGACCTGGGTTCAATTCCCCACATGGGTACAATATATATGATCAGTTCTGGTGTCCCCAACCGTGATATTCCTGGGAGACATATATTGCTATTGCTGCAAAACATCAATCAATCAATCAATCGCCCTGTATTACATTTTTAGATTTTTGGTGATTTGTATTTTTTATTGTATCTTGCTAACATTTCAATATTCACTGTACATATTGACAAGAGGTGTTAAAACTTTAGTTGTTCTGTCACAAAGGGTTAAACACTCAATACAGGGATTTATCTGGGCCTGTTCAGAGGCCTAAATTTGGCCCAATCTCGGTAAACAATTACCATTTTGGACTTTCAAATTTCCCACTTCATGTTATATGGTGATAACTAATGTTATGCTTTTGTAGAGGGGACTTGACCGGTGATTTTTTTTCCACAAATTGCCTGCCCTTAGTTTGAAATCCTGGATAGATCCCTGGCATAAGAAACACCCTGTTGACATGCCTTACATCAGAAGACAGTACAGCTGTAATACTTGTATCATGTTGTGTGTTCAGCTGGGTGCAGGTGGCCTGTCCGAGACTCTCCATAGACTGGGGAGCTTTCTTTGACAAACCGGTTCTCTCTCCATACGAGGTACGTACGTCAAAGCATTTGTATGTTATAGTTAAAACACAAGTCTGAGGTTTTGGTTGAAAAAGTAAAACTCTGAATGAGGGAAAATCAACAGGGACCAAAAAAAAAAAAAAAATAATAATAATCTTGTTTTGTGAAACAGTACAGTAGTCATGGAATAAAACATATTTGATGGCAATGGGCGAGAAAAAGACCACTTTCAGCATGCAGACGACTGAAGTTAAGTTAAGTTTGAAAGTATTGCTGTAATTTTGCTGACTGTAAACTACATCCCTCACTTCCAACCTTTGACCTTCACCTTCATGTTACCATGGTTACAGATGTCCGTAGCGATGAAGTCGGTTCAGTGGCAGGAAGTGTATCCGATGGATTTCTACGCCAATGACAGTCTGGGTGCCTGGACGGTCAACAACGAGGCCAACAGACCGCCGCGCCCCCGGCGAGGGAGACCAGCTGGGAAGGATGTGTTGACCTCAGGCCAGGGGACGAAGGCGGTGGCATCCCAGGACACTAAAACAGAGAAGAGCTCAGGGACTGGGGCCAAAGAGTGCCCCGGGGCGGGGACTGGGGCGTGCAGGGGGGTGGGGTCAGGAGGATGTGGAGAGCCAGGGTCAAGGACATGCATGGTGCAAGATGTGACTGTTTCTTCAGAAAAGACATTGAAAGACCTCACAAACTGTGAGTGCAAGTCATGATGAGGCTAGAAATTTGCGGTTCAACCTCACATGTACATATAGTGTACAGATGTACATATAGTGTACAGTTGACATATAGTGAGTGTACAGATGTAAATATAGTGTACCGAAGATGGGAATTGATTCAAGCCTGGTTGTTGTGAGAGGGTATACCCAGGTTGGAATTGAAGCTGTTCACTGTTAGCCCAAAGAGGCCCTGTTTGTGTTCTTTATAAGGGATAAATAATCTGCATTTGAGCAGATACTTGTATCTGGATATTTGCTACTGCTGCTGCTACTTCAGGGATGTGAGCATGTTTTAAGAAAAAAGGATGACAATAATATGACCCCAAATGATTTTGGGTAGAGAGTATTAGGGGGTTTGCATTTTTTCAACATGAAATGGTGCCATTTTAAGCATTTTAATGATCGTGACAGAGAAGTATGTGTTGTAGGGAATGAATTAACGGCAATATTTCTGTATGCAGACATTTATTCAACAAGCGCAGCTGTTAAACACATTTACCAAACAATGTCATAATTCCGACTGACCGCAGACAGACGGACAAATGTCACAAATTTCACATTATTCCAATTCATCATTCAAACAGTTTGGCTGTCTAATTCAACATCGACAAGTTGACTACAACAACATATTGTGGTTGACCGACTGTCCTGACTGTACAAACTTGACCAACAGGCCGACCGTCATAATGTTCACTAATTTACAAAGTTGACTGAGACTGGTACATTGACTGGTACAAGCTGTCATAAAATTAATAAGTACAAAGTTCAAACCAACTTAAATTAATCTACAAAAGAAATAATAAATAAATGGGAAAATAGCATGAAAATACCATATTGTTACACCATAATGCGGAAAGCATTGTTTACATGGTATAGATATTATTGTAGGATTTTCCAGATTTTAAGCAGTTACAACAAGCGAAATCTTTAGCCGATAAAACATACAAAATTTACCGTTTTACAACATGTAACCTGCCCAGACGTCTAAGGTGCTGCAATTCTCTGTGCAGATTTGCATCCCTTGGGCACGCCAGGAACCTATGATTGTGGGTTCGAATCCCGGTTCGCCGCGATTATGTTTCTAGGTTTGTCAGCACCATACTCGTGCTCGTGGGTTTCACCGATGTGGTAAACGTCTGAGACCTGCATCACTTCGGTCTTTCCTCCCACATTAAGCTGACACGCCGTGATATAACTAATACTGTTGAAAGTGGCATTAAACCGAACTCACTCGCTCATACTCAAAAAATTTGGGTGCCTTAAATCCTCACAGAAGTCAAAGTTTCTTGATAACCGCAGCTATCAACTTCAAAAACAAAAACGTGGTTTCCAAGATAGTGGAAAAAATCCTAAACGTCACAAACCCAAACTGAGTAGTTCAAACTTGGTAAAACGGCCTTGAAATTTCAATTCCCAACACTACGTATCAATGGAAATGCTGGTATTTTTGGGGCTTTATTTGCTGTTTTGAAAAAAGGAAGATGAAATGCAGTAACCACCGCTGAACTGATGCTTAGCCTCAGAAAAAATATAATTTTGATAGAAACAAGCAACTCCATTTAAATTGAAAAGGAGCCCCAGTGAGATGGAGATTCAAACAACTTGACCTGTGAAAAATCTAGACTTGCTTCATTTAGGGCTATTCCATGACAGTAAGGGCTGTACGGAATGCCAAATAATAAGGTTCGAGGACTGATCAGGGTGTGACAACCACCCCAACCCAATAGAATATCTTTTTAGAAAATCTGATGCATTTTTTACACAATCCTCATGTTAGGGTATGAATTATTAAGAATGCCTCCAATGACACAGTTGATCAACATCTTCATGTATGTGCCCCACCATGGGAAAAGAAAGTTTCACCTGAAAAATAGTAATTACAACAGTATTTTCACTGTGAACACAAATCCGATTGTACAAAATTTGTTTATTTATAGAATACCCATTTGAGTGTCGAGTAAAACATTTATCTTGGGCATTTTTTATAAACACTTAAATGTGTTAACCTGTGATGTCGTCACACTTGTGTGATGAAACATCCCCTTAATCCCGTGTCAAACACCTATTACATGCAACTCCACATTGTGTATTAGTATGTAAATATACTGAACCACAAAAGAAACATCACCATGGATAGATATATGAGAAACCTTATTTGTCCAAACACTGTGAACATACTTTGAGACTTATTAAAAAGATGAAACTTGGCAAAACTGATCATCAAGTTTGAAATTAAAGTGTCAAATGTTCTTAAAGTGAAACAACACTAGTCTCTGAGAAAATGGCATCACAAGTCAGTATCTCGTGTGTCCGCCATGTGCATTGATGACTGCTGTGCAACGTCAATACATGGAATGGATGAGGCGGTTGATGAAGGCCATAGGCACTTGAGCCCACAATCTGAGGAACGCCTGATGCAGTTCAGGTGCAGTTGTCGGCCTTGGTCCGAGGTCATTCAGTCGTTTTTGAATCTCGTCCCACAGGTGCTCAGTGGGATTTAAATGGGGACTGAGGGAAGGCCACTGCATGGTTCTGATGACATTCTGCTGGAGGAAGTCTCTTGTTGCTCTCGCGGTGTGGGCGTTATCATGCTTAAACTCATGGTTGAGGTGATGTGCCAAATGAGGTATTGCGTGTTGTCTCAAGGCTTGATCAATGTACCGAGCTGCTGTGCCTCTCCCTGGACCGGTGTTCTGAAAGACCACAGGGCCGACCCTTTGTGCAAGACCAATTCCACTCCACACCATGATGCTCAGACCACCCCACGAGTCTCTCTCAACAACACAAACATGCGAATAACGTTCCCCACCCCGTCGCCAGACTCTCTCTGCCATATGCTGTTGAGATACAGTAACGGCTCTTGTCTGAAAAGAGGACTCTTCTCCACTGCTGGTGGCGCCACTGAAGACGGTCCCGGTGATGACGTGGTGTCAGAATGGGTCCTCGGTGTGGCCTGTGACAGTGGAGGTGTCTGCTCGTCAATCGTCGGCGCACGGTGTCCGCACTAATGTGTCGCTGGTGTGTCCCCATGGTCTGTCGAGCAGTTTCCGCAGCAGTAACAAAGCGAACTTGAAGATGCTGTCGCACAATCTGATGATCCTGACGTCGGGTGGTGACCCTTGGTCTTCAGCTACGTGGTCGGTCATCGGGTGGATTTTTATAGGGCAAGAATTGGGGGAACGCATGTGCATTGCACGAAACTCACGTGCATTGGGTTACTATGGCCGTTGCCGTGATGCGTTTGGGCGATCGGTTTTATGGCATTTGCTTTGGGGGTTTTTTATCATCAAATTTCATTTTTCCAGACCAGGTAGTGTTAAATTTTAGAACTTTTGACAAAAATTTACCCAGATATCATGACAACTTTTTATGCAATGTTACTTGGGATGACGTTTCTTTTGCGGTTGAGTATATAACAAAAAGCACATACATGTTTTAAGATTTTTAACTTGACCAACAATGCAAAAAAATACAAGACATTCTTGTTTTTATTATCTTTTGGCGAATTTTCTGCTTGTAAAGTATAATGTCTCTGGCAATTTTTCATTATTATGAAATTAATAGTTAAATAACATTTTATAGCACCTGTATGGTAAATAAACAAAACGAGGAATTATTATGAGAGGCATACTAGAACCATTGTAAGGTGGCACGGGTGGCCCAGTCGTCTAAGGCGCCACAATTCGCTTTGTAGAGTTGCGTCCCCAGTCACGCCAGAAACCTAGGATTGTGGGTTCAAATCCTGGTTCGCCCCGATTATGTTTCTAGGTTTGTCAGCACCATACCCGTACCGTTTCACCGAAGTGGTAAACGTCTGAGACCCGCATCATTTGGGGCTTCCTCCCACATTTAGCTGACCCGTCGCAATATACTAGTAACTGGAAAGCGGGCTTCACCCAACTCTCTCACTCACTCATTACATTGTAACAAATGACACAAATTGCCTAAAAGTGTTACTTGTGGAATAAAGCCATGACACATGTTGAAAATATTTTGTAGTATTACCTGTGCAATCCTATAGAGGACATCCAATAGCACTGTGCAGGTGACATTTGCATCACTCGGAATACAGGAATTCCAGATGACAGCATGGGTGTCTGTTTCCGTGATCAACTACACCCCTCACATGGTGCTTGACATGTGCTAAGCTGCCAGTCTGAAATGTCACAATCAAGAAACATTCATTAATCAATACCACACAGGAAACGTATCAACATTTTTACACTTACACAAGTTACAGGGCGGTCGGGTAGCCTAGTGATTAAAGCGTTCGCTCGTCTCGCCGAAGACTCGGGTTCGATTCCCGACATGGGTACGATGTGTGAAGCCCATTTCTGGTGTCCCCCGCCGTGATATTGCTGGAATATTGCTAAAAGCGGCGTAAAACCATACTCACTCACTCACTCACTTACACAAGTTACACTTAAAAAAAATAGGAAGAAATTATTTCAGTCATATTCATGATATTTAGTTGAAGAAATGTGAATTTAAACTGTTTTATGAGCCTTTGGTTAATTAAGTTCTTTTTACAGTAGTCATCGCACACATGTACCTTTGACTGTTCTGGAAATACAGGAATGTTTGTCTTGTTCTGGTCGGTGTTGTTAATAATGAGGGATGGTGACCTCTTAGCATTGTTCCGACTTTGATACGGTAGTGCTCCTTTGCGGAGCAGATCTTGAAAACCGTACAATATTTTTGCCTTGCACACAACCAGACACGTCATATTGGCGGAGTATTTGTTTGTCTGAAACAATTTGTTCAAGAACATCCATCCTTGTTGGGGGGCAAGGGTGGCCCAGTCGTCTAAGGCGCCGCGATTCGCTGTGCAGAGTTGCGTCCCTTGGGCACGCCAGAAACCTAGGATTGTGGGTTCGAATCCCGGTTCGCCCCAATTACGTTTCTAGGTTTGTCAGCACCATACCCGGGTTCGTGAGTTTCACCGAATTGGTAAACGTCTGAAACCTGCATCACTTCTGGCTTTCCTCCCACTTTAAGCTGACACGCCGCGATATGACTGGAATACTGTTAAAAGCGGCGTTAAACCCAACTCACTCACTCACTCACTTCCCGAGGCAAGGGCATTTCCCCGTGAAGATCCGGGGTAGAATAGACCTTCAGCTACCCATTCTTGCCGTAAAAGGCGACTATGCTTGTCGTAATAGGCGACTAACGGGATCGGGTGGTCAGGCTCGCTGACTTGTTTGATGCATGTCATCATATCCCAATTGCGTGGATCGATGCTCATGATGTCAATCAATGGATTGTCTGGTCCATACTTGATTATTTACAGACCGCCGTCATATAGCTGGAATATTGCTGAGTGAGGCGTAAAACAACAAACATATAAACAAACAGCAAGGGCGTTTCCACTGGACTTTTATAGCCAGTTAACACCCTTGCCTCTGGAAGATGTGGCTAAACAGTGTTTTGATGGTGATGTACTTGAAACTGGTATCATAGTTTTTTGTTTTGGACCTGAAGTTTGTATTTCTGCGACTGTTTTTAGCCTAGTAACGTTTTGATAACGTGTAGTGTTTTGGTCAAATCCAATTTTCAAGTGTATACTTTCTAGTTCAGTTCACATTAACCCGACATATCCTGATGCAACTGAAACAAGTAGCGAAAGAAACTAACATGTTCAGTCCATTAGTCCTTGATCGTAAAAGGCAACTAACGGGATCGGGTGGCCAGGCTCGCTGACTTGGTTGAATTGTGTAGATTGATGCTCATGATGTCAATCACTGGATTGTCTGGTGCAGACTAGATTATTTTACAGACCGCCGTCATATAGCTGGATTATGGCTGAGACCGACGTTAAACAACAAACAAAACAATAAATGATAACATATAACAAAACCCTAAAAAATTCAAATTTCTACTAGTTATTATGATACCCTAACTATTGGGCAGTTTGGCAAGGATTATAGGACTTGTGCCAATTTCTATCGCTGAATAAGAAGCGTGAAGCCCACCCACTGGCACAGAAGTAGGTGACTGTTAATGTGTGTTCTGGATTGTGGATATTCTCCTGGGGAGTTCGGGGAAGGACTGGTCCCCAGCGACCCATGCCGATAGTAAGAGGGGACTTAAACGATCAGGTGGTCAGACTCGATGACTTGGTTGATGATGTGTCAACGTGCCTAGATGACGTCATCTTCCCGAAGCAAGAGAGTTAACTGACTTTAAAAGTCCAGTTTCCACCCTTGCCGAACTTGGCTGGAATTACTGGGCTCTATCGTAGCGCCACCAGTGGCTATTACCAGTTATGTCCCCTCTAAGCCTCTATGGACCAATGAGACTCCACCTCTCGTATCACTTGCCTTTTGCTTCACACAAAATGGTGGCGCCCAGTCAGGACGATCTGATCGATAATCAAGATCTATATTGTGATAAAACGGGTCTTACATCGCGAAATGCATCAAATCACGTGAGCACCTTGATTAAAAACATGAAAAGATTTGGAAAATATCTGCTGACATCGAGCTGGCGGTGCACATGCTTTGCAAATCCTGCAATCGACCGAAATCTGCACGACAGTTTACGAACCGGATTTCGATTTCGGTGCGCGATTTTGATTGGACTATGCATAGACTCGTTAGTCCAGCCAAAATGTAACTCCATAATACCAACCTAGAAACTGGACTTTTATAGTCAGTTAACTCACTTGCCTCGGGAAGATGAGATGACGTAGATCGTTAGTTGTAATATCAATCTCGGGATTGTCTGATCCGGGGGTGGTCGGGTAGCCAAGTGGTTAAAGCGTTCGCTCGTCACACCGAAGACCCGGGTTCGATTCCCGACATGGGTACAATGTGTGAAGCCAATTTCTGGTGTACCCCGCCGTGATATTGCTGTAATATTGCTTAAATCGGCGTAAAACCATACTCACTCACTCATTGTCTGATCCAGACTTGCTTATTTAGCCGTTATAAAGCTGGACTATTGCTGAGTGCAGCATTAAACAAACAAACAAACGAACAAACTCTGTGGAGGCTGTGATCTACAAACTACTTACCACTGCTGTTGGGAATGTCTACAAAGTGCCCATGATTTCTTTATCCGGCAATTTCACTGAACACTAATGTGTTTGTAGTTAATATTAATAAAACAATGAACCCTTCTTTCTGTCTAGAGTTTTATTGGCAGGTCGTATAAAGACCATCAGACCAGACCATAACTTGCCGCTGACTCCAATAAAGTGAAATCTAAAAATATGAAAAGCAGTTGTTTGTTTTTATTTAATGGAACAGAAATCATTATATAACTCATTTACTGTCGCTATCAATATAAATAAATTATTTTAAAAATCTATAATTAAACACTGTTGAAAAACTCCCATCCCCAATATTTGTTTCATGTTTACTCTATAAGGGAATAAAAAAAATATTTGAAATTGGAATTTAGAAAATAATATTTTTCGACTTGCTGACCTGTAATTTTGGGCCATAAATCTGTAAAAGAGTATATACGAAGAAACGCTAGGTAAACATTAATGTGAGTTTTTTTCTGGGGCATGAGTGTGGTAAGACATCCAACACAACAGTTAAGACATCCAAAACAACAGTTAAAACATCCAACACAACAGTTATTGTAACTTGAATTACTCAGAGAGTGAAGGTGTACACACGCTAACATGTATATGAAATTATGCTTGTCACATCCCAGGGCGACCAACCACGGTTGCTCGCAGGAGGTGATGAGTGTGGATTGGGTGGCCAAAATGGCTCAAAGTAGGAATAAATGAGTGACCACACACACTGAGTAATGCTTAACTCTCTTGGCCACTGGTTAGACTGCTCAAGATATGACTAAGACTAGAAACTCATTCATTCATTCATTCATTCATTCATTCATTCATTCATTCATTCATTCATTCATTCATTCATTCATTCATTCATTCATTCATTCATTCATTCATTCATTCATTCATTCATTCATTCATTCATTCATTCATTCATTCATTCATTCATTCATTCATTCATTCATTCATTCATTCATTCATTCATTCATTCATTCATTCATTCATTCATTCTACTCTGGTAAAATATTGACCGATCAGAGATCTAATGCCACTTGCATGCTTGCTGAGCCCTGAGCACATTGTAATGGTAGCTTTATGATGCAATGTTAATGTGATTTCAAATTGTCACTACCCTTTTGTCTGAAACCCACGGGGATTCTGGGTTAGAATTGTACCCAAGAAACCTATGCATGTCGTAAGAGGCGACCAACTGGATCGGATGGTCAGACTCGGTCACATGGTTGATGGCATGTCAACATTTTGTCTGGACTCATGTCTTTTGTTTGTTTGTTTGTTTGTTTAACGCCACACTCCGCAATATTCCAGCTGTATGATCGAGGTATCGAGTCTGGACCAGACAATCCGGTGATTGACATCGTGAGCATCGATCCACGCAACTGGAATACCATGACATGCATCGACAAAGTCAGCGAGCCTGACCACCCAATCCTGTTAGATGTCTCTTACGAAAAGCATAGTTGTCTTTTACGACAGGCATGGCATGGTTTCTGAAGACCTATTCTAACCCGTATCTTCACGGGCACTTTTCTTGTGAAATCGTTTCTCGTTAATTTATCAAAAAATCTTTTCTTTTGTGATCTGACAGCGAGGTCATTGGGTCAATTAACCCTCCCGCCCCTACCAAACGAACGCACGCACGCACGCACGCACGCACGCACGCACGCACGCACGCACGCACGCACGCACGCACGCACTCCATCCTGTGTCATCCCCTTTATGAAACAGTTCCTTTTAGCACTGAACTCAAGTTTGTGAATTTTAGCAATGCTGCAAGCATGGATTTAAATTGACAGCCATAAACTCCCATATATCACTTGGATAAAGGGAAAGAACTGGCCTTGGGTCAACATTGGCTGCCATAACAAGTTTGATTAAAGTCATGCAAAAACTTCTGTCTCTGTCAATTTGAATGTATGAGTATCAGTAGTTCTCTTGTTTCACAGAGTCCGTTTCAGTTTCACACGAATTACATGTACACGCTTTAAACCTAGACCAGAAAAGCACTGAGACATGTAGACATGCATCTGGTTCCTCTGTATATTCACCGTGTCGCCCAACCTGGTCTATCAGTAAGGGAGTGTCACTGAATTACGCATGGATCTATCCTGAATAGACGAAGAAATCAGTCCTTTTCCGCATCAACTAGTGTATAGAACAGTTGTGGAATCTGTCCCTCCTTCCCTGACGTGTCCCGTGTACCCTTTTTGCAGTAGGCAAAGGTCAAGGTCACATCACTGTTCTTTACGAAGGATATGCTGTTATGTCCTTTAAAGGTTGGAGGACCTCGAATCTTGACTAACAGCGTGTACCAGACATTCCCATCGAGTTTGAGCTTTGCGTTGAACATGACTTTCAGATATTTGGCATTGTCCACAACCTTGGTGACCTGTGCATGTATGATGTCGTCATTCTTGTCATACAGGACAGTGTTAATACAATACTCTGAATTGTTTCCATCGAAGGGGCCGTAAATACTGTAGCCATGGAGGTAGATCTCTTTCAAACAAATCAGTTTCACCGCGTCTGTTCCATAGCTGTCCCTGGGTCCGTCCACCTCGGTGAACCGACTGCACACGCGATACTCCTTGATGTTTCTAGTTCTTGTCCCGAACTTAAAACACTGGGTCCACCGCTCGGGAATAGCATAACACTGAACCATAGTGAAACATTCTTCTTTGGTGAAAAATCCCTGAGGGGCCACAGAGTCGACAAAATACCGGGGGTCAAGGAGAGGAAATCGGACACAGTCCAGCGAATCTCCAAGCACCTGTCTTCTGTTTGGACCCGTCGGTTCTATTCTTTGCATTTGGCACTGAGCATCTGCCCAGATGAGGATTGATTCCAAGACCTTCACCTCCTCGACCTCCAGTTGATCTGAACCCAGGACCTGGTTCAGACAGGGTTGGTATATGTTCCGGAAACCTTCAGTTGCCAGGACACTGCTGGCGTTCTGGTTGATGAAGTTCAGGATGGCTTGAGCCAGTTCGTCTAGGATGTATCCTTGTTCCAGGACTTCACAAGCGTTCTCAATAGTCAGGTAACTCTCCACAAACTTCACACAGGACATGACCAGCCTCTTGACTGCATATTTCTTGGCAGCGTAGATTAGTCCTATCACTGTCCTTACACTATGGTTCACCTCTTCAGCATACAAGAACCTGGCAATACAATGAATAAAAATAACGTTACTCACGTTTAAAAAAATACGATTTGTTTCCACATTTAAATATGACATTGCCACAATGTTGGTTTGGTTGTTTTGTTGTTTAACTCCGCACTCAGCAATTATCCAGCTTATGACGGCGGTCTGTAAATAATCGAGTACGGACTAGACAATCCAGTGATTGATATCATGAGCACCGATCCATTCAATTGGGATACGATGACATGCATCAACAAAGTCAGCGAGCTTGACCACCGATCCCTTAAGTCGCCTCTTACGACAAGCATAGTCGCCTTTTACGACAAGCATGGGTTGCTTAAGACCTATTCTACCCCGGATCACACGTGTGTGCCCTTCTTCTGATAATAGATAGATGTACATAAACTTTCTACAGGTACACTGTTCCTAAGAACAACTCATCAGGTATCTCCCCCATGGGGATTCGGGGTTAGAATTAGTCTCCAGCAAACAACGCTGGTCGTAAGAGGCGACCAAAGAGATCGGGTGGTCCGGCTCAGTTGATTGTGTGTCATCGTACACCGACGGCGTGGGTCGTTGCTCATGATATCAATCACTGAAATGTCTTATCCGTTATTTACAGACTGTCGATATATAACTTTAATATTGCTGAGTGCTGTATTGACAAATAAATCAGCATGCACAGCTGCAACGTATGGGAGTGGGATGCTTGACGGAATAGGGGGCACGGGTGGCCAGGTCGTCTAAGGCGCCGCGATTCGCTGTGCAGAGTTGCGTCCCTTAGACACGCAAGAAACCTATGATTGTGGGTTCGAATCCCGGTTCGCCCCGATTATGTTTATAGGTTTATCAGCACCATACCCGTTCTCGTGGGTTTTACCGAAGTGGTAAACGTCTGAGACCTGCATCACTTCGGGCTTTCCTCCCACATTAAGCTGACACGCCGCGATATAACTGGAATACTGTTAAAAGCGGCGTTATAACCCAACTCACTCACTCACTTGACGGAACATTGATGACATGCTTACATACTATTCAAAACAAGTTAAAGAACATCCTTAATGGAAGATGTATGTTGCAACCACGACTGATTAACTACATGTATAGTCAAGGGTGTTCTTTTACTTCTTTTGAGTAGTCTATATTCACCCACACAATTCACCCATCATTTCACCATAAGAGGCGACTAACGGGATCGGGTGGCCAGGCTCATTGACTTGGTTGATGCATGTCATCGTGTCCCAGTTGCGTAGATCGATGTTCATGATGTCAATCAATGCATTGTCTTGTCCAGACTCGATTAGTTACAGACCATCGTCATATAGCTGAGTGCGGCTTTAAAAAACAACAACAACAAAAATACTCTCTCACCCACAACCACCTCCTCCCCAAGGAACTACCCACGGACACACGTGCAAAATGTTAGAGACCTCTCACCTGAGGAACTCCCAGAATACTTCCGGGTCAATATCCGGGATGTCAATCTCCTCCTTGGTTTCTGCCAGCGGACCTTGGAACATCGCAAAGAAGACGCTCGACCGGCTGATGAGCAGGAACTTGTGCGCACCAATGTTTTCTCTCGTCTGCCCAACCCGGAAGTGAACATCACACGCCACCTGGTGGTCTAACATGTGAAGCGTACATTCGGACAGGGTCTTGTTTTCCTGCCAGTCCACTGCAGTGTTGGTCTGATGAGGAGTCTTCCAAAGGTTTGGTGTGGTTGGCGTTGACATCTTGGTGTCTGGAAAACAAGGATTATGAATAGAAGGTGAAGTGACTTTAAGCGGTCTACGCTGTCAGCAGAAGGATACGAAACCCTTAATATTTCATAGAACTGTGATCACAGAAAACAATTGTCGATTGTGTTAGCATTGAGGGTGCCAAACCATCCACTCTAGGCATCCTGCATACCATTCAACTTGTATTGGCATCCAATTTAAGAAAGTTTAAGTAAGCGTACACAGCGCGTACAAGTAAGTTAGACTGTAGTGTTCATATAGAATACATGACCATGCCTGTTCGAAAGCTTAGGGCTAAATATTTTATTTGTTACTCTTTTGAAACAAAAAAAGACAAAAAATATAATTGAACATTGAAATATTGGCATCCGCGTACCAGATAAACATTTCATGGCATCCAGCGAACTGCACTGCGGCGTCCGGATAACAACTTATCAGGGCTCGGCCTCCGACCTACCGAAAGGTTTGCACCCACAGTATTACTAGACTCTATAGTGAGTGAGTTTACGCCGCTTTTAGCAATATTCCAGAAACATCACTGCGGGGGACACCAGAAATGGGCTTCGCAGATTGTACCCATGTAGGGAATCGAACCCGGGTCTTCGGCGTGGCGAGCGAACGCTTCAACCATCAGGTCTAGCCGTCAGGTCCCGACTATGAGGCTATTTTAAGTTGCAGATAGTTACCATGCAGTTCCGGTGTTGGTCGACTCTTGCTACAATCACGACACTGTTTCTACCCAGACATTCCATAGAGCAGTAACTATCAGACATGTTCACAGTTTGTCATAAGCAACAACGTCAGGCATGAGTTAATTAGCACACTGGCGAGGAGATTGTCGCAACTTCCAGAGTGCATGAATGAGTATGGATTTACGCCGCTTTTAGCAATAATCAAGAAACATCAAGGCAGGGGACACCAGAAATGGGTTTTACATATTGTACCCATGTGGGGAATCCAACCCGGGTTTTCGGCGTGACGAGCGAACGCTTAAACCATAGGCTACCCCACCGCGACTTGTAGCGGTTATATATAGTGCTAGAGCAGCTGAGATACCATGCCCTAGTTTAACACGGATACCCCGAGTAGTCACAGTATACTGACTCCGAGAAGCCATTTTATATATCCTTTTAATGCCGAGCGCCAGGCAGGGTAACAACAAGTACCATCTGTTGATGTCCTTTTGGGTGACGTGACCGGGGATCGAACAAGCGACCTTCCGCTCTCGGGCATACGCTCTATCCACTACAGCTACACCTGTACTACCCCGACCACAGCCCGCTGATTGTGAGTGAGTGAGTTGGGTTTAACGCCTCTATTAACAGTATTCCAGTTATATCACGGCATGTCAGCTTAATGTGGGAGGAAAGCCCGAAGTGATGCAGGTCTCAGACGTTTACCACTTCGGTGAAACCCACGAGCACGGGTATGGTGCTGACAAACCTAGAAACATAATCGGGGCGAGCCGGGATTCGAACCCACAATCATAGGTTTCTTGCGTGCTCAAGGGACGCAACTCTGCACAGCGAATCACGGCGCCTGACACGACTGGGCCACCCACAGTGGGAATATGTGTGAAGAACCAGTGATCAAAATACAGGAATCGATGTGACCAGGGTGAAACGAACATAGTGATGTAAGAGGTCATAAAATCTCTCTCAAGCCACTTAATATTGTTCGAGTAACTCGAACCACGCGACAAGACACTCGCACGCATGATCCCCCCTAACTGTAAAACACGCACGGGATCGGGTGGTCAGGGTCGCTGACTTGGTTGATGCATGTAATCGATCATCACAATTGCGTGGATCTATGCTCATGATATCAATCACTGGATTGTCTGGTCCAGACTCGATTAGTTTACAGACCGCCATGATATAGCTGAAATATTGCTGTGTGCAGCGTTAAACAACAAACACTGTATACTCACATGGACCCCCCACCCACCCCCCTCACACACACACACACACACACACACACCACCACCACCATCCCCGACACCTCCACCCCCCAGCTTCAACTTGAGACTAGAGCGTACACAATATACAAGGATGAGAATCTTCCACGGATCCGCGAATTTTAGTGACAAAAAAATTGTTAAATTATTAGGAACCCCCCATAAACACCCCGAAATTATGTACCACGCTCCATTGAATAGAAGTTTCAGGTGAAAAGGAAAATATCCATTCTCATCCCTAAATATACATCTGCAAACACCTTCCATTCCACCCCGTGAAGATCCCGGTTAGAACTGATCTTCAGCAACCTATGCTTGTGGCAAGTGGCGACTAACGGGATCGGGTGGTCATGCTCGTTGACTTGGTAGATGCATGTCATCGTATCCAAATTGCGTAATTCGATGCTCATGGTATCACTCACTAGATTGTCTGGTCCAGGCTCGGTTATTTACAGGCCGTCGTCCAAAAGCTGCAATATTGCTGAGTGGTCTTAAACAACAAACAAACAAAACCTTCCTTTTGAATATCCAATAATGTGTGCACACACGCGCGCGCTTATCACAGCCCTTGAATCTCAACACGATAGGAGCGTAGTGTACACGTGGCCCCGCGCTCTCATGTTCTACACAAGCACTGTTCATCAGGCTATATGTCACACACACGTCATTATCATAGTCACCGGTGCGAGTGACTGACAGTGATTCACTAGACCTGAAGTGGTATTTTCAAACGATGTACAAAGCTATAGGTATCTCTTTACACCACCACGATGCCGCTGACCCACGACTAGGGGTTCGTCATTTTTCGCTTTGTCACGGTGAGAGTGGAGATTTGTGTCATATCTCGTTTACTCCCGGGTTTTGTCTGTTCTTACCCCTACCCCACCCCCGGATAACACCCCACACCCCTCACAACATCCTTTCACCAAAGTGACATCGACTTTGTTTGGGTTGGAGCTGAGTAAGCATATTTTCACGGAGTTTATTCTTGCTATTTATTAGCATTTCTGTATGTATGTATGTATGTATGTATGTATGTATGTATGTATGTATGTATGTATGTATGTATGTATGTGTTTGTTTGTTTGTTTGTTGTTTAACGCCACACTCGGCAATATTCCAGCGATATGACGGCGGTCTGTAAACAATCCAGTCTGGACCAGATAATCCAGTGATTGACATCATGAGCATCCATCAACGCAATTGGGATCGATTACATGCATCAACCAAGTCAGCGAGCCTGACCACCCGATCCCGTTAGTCGCTTCTTACGACAAGCATAGATCGCTGAAGATCAGTTCTAACAGCATGGGTTGCTGAAGACCTATTGTAACCCGGGCCTTCACGGGTTGTTTTTGAAGTAGGATATTTATATATGTTATCATGTACTAGTATCACGATAACACTATAAACAAGCCTACAGTTTTATAGGCTACAGGTTAGACATAATATACATTTTATTTATTGCTGTATTTCAATGGCACCATTTTCAAAGGAGGAACCTTATTCTGACAGACGGCCCTTGAGACTTGGTCCAATTGAGTGCACCTCCCTAATGGCTATCCTGTTATTGAGATATATAGTACGTGGGTATATATGCTAAAGTGTTAAATCATTAATGAGTGAGTGAGGGAGTTATATCACGGCGTGTCAGCTTAATGTGGGAGGAAAGACCGAAGTGGTGCAGGTCTCAGACGTTTACCACTTCGGTGAAACCCACGAGCATGGTATGGTGCTGACAAACCTAGAAACATAAACCGAGCGAACCGGGTTTCGAACCCACAATCATAGGTTTCTGGAGTGCCCAAGGGACGCAACTCTGCACAGCGAATCGCGGCGCCTTAGACGACTGGGCCACCCGTGTCCCCGAATCATTAATGATATATCTACCCCGGATCTAGTGTAAAATAGAGTACACGCTATTTCGTAAAAGTCGGTCACCGGTGTGATGTCATACGAATATAAACATTGTTGTACATATTTGGTCATTTCTTTGAGGTGAAAAGGATTAGCTCGGCATCCAGCGTGTTCTTTGTTCCAGACTTGAGTACTTACAGACCGCCGTCATACAGCTGGAATATTGCGTAGTGCGGCGTTAAACAACAAACAAACAAACAACCAAGCAAATAACATAACAATTTCATATTTGTCAAATCTCTCTAAGAGATACACATTTGAGGTTGGTTTGGTTGGTTGGTTTGTTGTTTAACGCCGCACTCAGCAATATTCCAGCTATATGACGGCGGTCTGTACGCAATTGGGATCGATGACATTCATCAACCAAGTCAGCGAGCCTGACCACCCGATCCCGTTAGTCGCCTTTTAGGACAAGCATAGTCACCTTTTACGGCAAGCATGGGTTGCTGAAGACCTATTCTACCCCGGAATCTTCACGGGTCCACATTTGAGAAGAAACGCCACATTTGAGAAGAAACGCCAATGATATATCCTCGATTAGTTTCCAATTTTCACTGTTAACATAAGACTACCTTTTCTTGTCAGAGACGGAGTCCTGTGAGTGGACTTCTTTCTGATGGTGGAGCGAGCGTCACTGGAGCGTGAGGTCCCCGGACTGGCCATCGTTATACTTTCATATACCCGTATCCTCCTGCAGGTGTACCGGTATACTCTATACACTCTGAAGCTCTCTACATCATGCACCTGTGTGTTCGGCATGTGCACAGTGGAACAATGTATCACGTCATGTGTGGTACGGCTGTTATAGTGATGTAGATAGACTATCAGTATATATATATGATAACACTGATACAAACACGGGTCAAGAATTCAGGGGTAACTATCAGCTATGGGGCGGACATCACTGGTTTCAGCCAGACCACTTATCATGTTTACCGCGTATAACCATGTTTTTTATCCGAGACAGTTAAGTTTTTATCTTTTTTCTGTAACAATATTAAAAAAACAAAAACCGACTGCATCCATCATGATAACTAGCCTTATTATGCATAGTCACGTGATATTACAACGTGTTGCCAGTATAAAGTACTATACCACGAGTGGATTATTCATTGCGTTTTGATGCACGACTTTTCAGTTTCAATTTTAAATATTCACCTGATCAATAACGGGAAGATTAAATAACAGAAATGCATTTTCATATAACGCTGATGAAACATTCCCGGTGCAGCGTTATAACGAGTAAACATATAATACCATTAACGGTACGGATATCGGATATCGCGGCATCGGGGAGGTACATGTACGTAGAGAGGTAGGTAGGTGCTTGTGTAGGTATATAGGACAGTGGGTGGGTGGGGAGGTGTGGATCCCCGGAGGGAGGGGAAGGTATGTAGATAGTCAGGCAGAGAGGGTGGGCAGTAGGTAAACCATTACCAAACACTGACCTCTTGTTACATACATGTTATATTCATCTTGTCACGCACAGTGTCTGAGAAACTCTATATATAGGTTTTACTGTTAACTGGTATTAATCTTTAATATTTATAGCGGTGCCCCACACGTCATAATGAATTCCCTTCTATGTCCTGGCGGTATATCGTGCTGTCTACAGTATCAGAACGTCCTCGTTACAACGCCGCCCGTACATCCCCACTATAAGCCTCACTTGCGTATACAGTTGGACCTCACGTGTCTTATCGCTATCTAGGACAATATGTCATGTATCAAATATATCGGTGACTTAACCTACTCAGTTATCGGACAGTTCCATTCTCACAAATTAACAATTCTTGTCCAAGACATGAAACACGGCCAACAATGAACCGTTAGATCACCATATGGTTGCCAGGTGCGCCATACAGTTGTGACAGGCACACGTGTTTAATAAACCACTTCTTCATTAAAATCTCTGCAAAAACATGCTATAACTGACAGGTAAATCAATGTCGAAAACTTACCTGTGTACAGCAATGCCAGTTTCCAAAGTGCGTGGTTCGGCTGTCACACTAATTGAACCAGGTATGCTATTCATTCGCACAGGTATGTTCAGCCAAGCGGGCAATGTGGGACGGCTCTATAGTATAGGCATATATACTTCCAGCTCTAGGCACTATATATTGTTATCTAAAGAGATATCACTCAGAGTAGGTTTCTGTATATATTTGCTAGTTCTTTCAGTATATTAATTGTATAATGATTTTGCAACCGTATGAGTATCGTATAAGGTTTGTTTGTTGTTTAACGCCGCATTCAGCAATATTCCAGCTATATGACGACGATCTTTAATAATCGAATCTGGACCAGACAATCTAGTGATTGACATCATGCGCATCGATCTACACAATTGGGATACGTTGACATGCATCAGCCAAGTCAGCGAGCCTGTCCACCCTATCCCGTTAGTCGCCTCTTACGACAAGCGTGGGTTGCTGAAGACCAATTCTACCCCGGAATCTTCACGGAAGGAATTCGGTAGAACCATATATGTTGATATTAGGAAACGTACTTTAAATGCATAGTGAAATGGTATTTCCTGATTTCCATTTCGTATTTGTCCCCGAATTATTAGTTTAATGAACACAGGTTTATTTAGTGTTGATATTTGGGTCAGGTAATCTGTCGTGTATTGTGTAGCAATTGCAAGATACTTATCGTGCTTCATACATGTATATAGCGACCAAGTATACCCTTAGTCCTAAAGGGGCAGTAGGGTGGCCTAGTGGTTAAAGCACTCGCTCATCACGCCGAAGACCCGGGTTCGATTCCCCACATGTGTACAATGTGTGAAGCCCATTTCTGGTGTCCCCGGCCATGATATTGCTGGAATATTGTTAAAAGCGCGTAAAACCATACTCACTCACCTGTGACGACAGGTGTTGCCGCAAGCCTAAGAGGGGTGGACAAGTCGTGTAAGGCGACGCGATTCTCTGTGCAACGTTGCGTCTTTTGGGCACGCCAGAAACCTATGATTGTGGGTTCGAATCCCGGTTCGCTTCGAGTATGTTTCTAGGTTTGTTAGCACCCTACCTGTGCTCGTGGGTTTCGCCGAAGTGGTAAACGTCTGAGACCTGCCTCACTTCGGGCTTTCCTCTCCCATTAAGCTGACACGCCGTGATATAACTGGAATAATGATAAAGCTGCGTTAAATCCAACTCACTCACTCCGTTGAAGAAAAATGACAAAAATGGCTACCGCGCTTTCACCAAGTACTTCCTAGGTGGACAGCGGAGTTCCAAAGGAGAAGATGAAGGATAATTAGCAACCACGCCATCAACACAGTCAATCATAATTAGATTTAGAACTGTTCAGCCACTTCTCATATAAATGATTGTATCAGCTATACAACTCAATATTCCTTCTCGAATTTGAAATTAACATAGGCATTTGAGCCTGTCTATAAATCCACTCCCCCACTGTCGTTGTGGGAAAATCTTTTGAAGGCAGTTTGTTATCAGAATTCCTTGAAACCCGGACCTTGTCGTATCCGTGTTGTGTCGTACCCGGGTCCGTTTTACTTTCCGGTACTTCTAAAGGTTGTTTTCTCATCACGTGGTTTCCTAACATGTCACCGCTCCCAATTCAATTCGTGTTATTCAAAACAATTACTATTTTCGAAAGGTGAATCTCTCTATAAATCCTCAAAACAATAACTCCCACGTCACAACGACTTTGTTTTATAAAATTGCGTCCCTTAGTTATGTTAGGATCCGCTGATCGTGAGTTCGAATCATAGAGATCCGTTTATGATCTTTGAACTGTGAACATCGTATACATCCTATATACCTTACTTACGTTGCCGGCTTCATAAAAAAAAGGTGAATTAAGAATTGAAATACGTTCAAAGCAGCTTCAAATTGTTGATATGACGTTGGCCACGGATCAAACTCGGGGCGAATCTTGGATTCGTACCCAAAATCAGATCCCGGCACTGTTAAGGGACGCAACTCTGCACGGTGATTGCGATGTCTTTAGTACTTGGCCACCCGTTCCTCTAAATCAATATAGAACTTACCTAATAGTAGAAGATCGAATACTATATGGAACCAGAGATCTTTCCATAAACATCGATGACTTCGTCTCCTTCAGTAACAGATGGGGAATTCCCACATGACTGTCATGCTTCCGCGTAAGGTGAATCACGTTCTCGTCACGTGGCTACATTCCCATTAAAACGTGTGACCGCAAGCTATTGACATACGGACGGGCGACATAACAGATCAAATGTTCAAATACAGAATACATTTATTCCTTGAAAGGTATATCCTGCTGCAAAGGCACGTTAGCCTCATCTGATATAGATTGTGACACAGTCAGTGCATACATATTATACAACACATGGTTTCTAGCTTATCGTAAATCACGCTTTATTAAGAACCTGCATGTTGAGGTCAGTGAACTTTGACTTGACCTTAACATTTCTTATATAAATCACTGCTTAAAAAACACATTTGGCATTAAAAACGCGAACGTTATCTTTTCTATATCACAGATAATGGATGGAATTAACCAGTTATTTGCAGCTGTATATACAGAGTTAGCGATAAGATTATATTTAAGGCGCTTTCAGCGATATTCCATATAACACAAATAACCATATCACGATTTCAACGTGTGGAGGAGTTGGCGTGACGAGCCAACACTGTCACCACTAGACTACCGAACGTTGACATACATATCTGCTCAGACTGACGAGTGAGTGATTGAGTGATTAAGTGAGTGTGTGAGTGAGTGAGTGAGTGAATATCATTTTACGACACTTTTAGCATTATTCCAGCAATATCACGGCGGGGGACACCAGAAATGGGCTTCACATATTGTATCCATGACGGGAATCGAACCCGGGTCTTCGGCGTGACGAGCGAACGCTTTAACCACTAGGCTACCTGACCGCCCCCAAACTGAAGACGGGGAGTAAGATGAAACCAATCTTCTTTAGTCGGTTCAAAAATAAACAAAAAAATGCTTTAAAAGGTCGTAGTGGTATGATGTAAATGACCACGTGCTACAAAATTATACTGTTATGATCATACGGATTATGGGGCAGTTGGCCATGAAACAATACAAATTGATTGTATAGGTTCTGGATTGCATTTAGCTATACACGTTCATCGCGTCATATAAAAAACACAGGAAAATGTTAATTACGTTGTTCTCAAATCTGGAATTGTCATAAAAATAGAACATGAAAGTAGCCCTGTGTCCGTCACGTGTTCTAGATTGTAGCCTCGTCTACCGATACAATAACATACACCTGCATCACTATGGGGCCTTGACCTTGATCACGATACCGATTACAGATACAGCGTCCAACGTCATCAGATGACGTGCACGGTGAGCCAGCAGGACTGGGATGACTTGCACATCTCGACCACATCAGCTGCAGATGGAGTCCTCCTTCGTCCGTCGTCGTCGTCGGCGGCGGCGGCGGCGACGTTGCCTGTCGTCAATAAAATTTGACACTTTTTACTTCTCCGAAATGGCTTGGTGGATTCAGCTGACATTTTGTGTCGATGTTTGTTACTATAAGTGGGGTCAAGTTTTTTCAAGGCATCAAAATTGTAATTTCAATATGGCCGCCTGGTTTTCATCTTTGATTTTTTTAAATTCAAAAGGTTTCTCCAAAACCTAAAAGGCCAGGGGCCTTAAACGTGGTTGGTGAGATGGTCACTCAGTGTAGTTCAAAGTTTGTTTGAGGCATCTTGTTCGGATATCAAATAAGGGCTCCAACAGCCATGTTTGAAAATACAAAAAAATCATGATTCATTCGTTTTAAACATAGTCTCCTCAGACACCAGTGGACCAACGAAGCTGAGACTTCAAAATCTTATTAAAACCAATGATGACGCCCCAATTTGCTTAAGAGGTTACCAGTCATATTGAAAATGATATTAATGGCAACTGCTTTGTCATTTTCGCGATAACTAAAAAAAACAGGTTTAAATGTCACGCTGTGACAGTACTGAGAGCATCAACCTCTCGGAAGCCACTTGACCAAATACCCGAGAATGTCACATGCTTTTTCCCACCAATGATTTTTTTCACCCCATTTTTTTTTCAAGCGGTTCGAGTCTGATAACCTATATGTGGCCAATACTAGTACACAGCCATTTATGTTCAAAATGTAATGTCAAGTGCTTGTCAAGTAGGTCCTCAGTGTCACATGCTTGTCAAGAAGGACCTCAGTGTCACACGCTTGTCAAGTAGGTCCTCAGTGTCACATGCTTGTCAAGTAGGTCCTCAGTGTCACATGCTTGAGTAGGTCCCAAGTGTCACATGCTTGTCAAGTAGGTCCCCAGTGTCACACGCTTGTCAAGAAGGACCTCAGTGTCACATGCTTGTCATGTAGGTCCTCAGTGTCACATGCTTGTCAAGTAGGTCCTCAGTGTCACATGCTTGTCAAGTAGGTCCTCAGTGTCACATGCTTGTCAAGTAGGTCCCCAGTGTCACAAGCTTATCATGTAGGTCCTCAGTGTCACATGCTTGTCATGTAGGTCCTCAGTGTCACACGCTTGTCAAGTAGGTCCCCAGTGTCACAAGCTTATCAAGTAGGTCCTCAGTGGCATATGCTTGTCAAGTAGGTCCCCAGTGCCACATGCTTGTCATGTAGGTCCTCAGTGTCACATGCTTGTCAAGTAGGACCCTAGTGCCACATGCTTGTCAAGTAGGTCCCCTGTGCCACATGCTTGTCAAGTAGGTCCCAAGTGCCACATGCTTGTCAAGTAGGTCCTCGGTGTCACATGCTTGTCAAATAGGTCCCCAGTGTCACAAGCTTGTCGAGTAGGTCCTCAGTGTCACATGCTTGTCAAATAGGTCCCCAGTGTCACATACTTGCCAAGTAGGTCCCCAGTGTCACACGCTTGTCAAGTAGGTCCCCAGTGCCACATGCTTGTCAAGTAGGACCCTAGTGCCACATGATTGTCAAGTAGGTCCCCAGTGGCATATGCTTGTCAAGTAGGTCCCCAGTGCCACATGCTTGTCATGTAGGTCCTCAGTGTCACATGCTTGTCAAGTAGGTCCCCAGTGTCACATACTTGTCAAGTAGGTCTCCAGTGTCACATGCTTGTCAAGTAGGTCCCCAGTGTCACATGCTTGAGTAGGTCCCCAGTGCCACATGCTTGTCAAGTAGGTCTCCAGTGTCACATGCTTGTCAAGTAGGTCCCCAGTGTCACATGCTTGAGTAGGTCCCCAGTGTCACATGCTTGTCAAGTAGGACCC